AATGGCCGACGCAGTTGACAGCACGGACAAAGTTGATTCCAAATCACCAAGGCAACTACATCAGGAGGTACAAGCCGAGCCGGAGCCGGAGCCGGAGCATTCTATTCACGTTAAGGGTTCTGAGGAGCCTGTTGAAGCCGCCCCCGCCCCAGAACCTGCGGCACAAGTTGATCAAGAGACTACCGAACGACCCGTTGGACATACTGCAGAGGAACCTGGCGAGAAGATTAATGACAGTTCCCGCGAAGAGGCTGCCCAGACTCTCGACAAGAAACCCGATGAAAGTCATGTCGAGAAGTCTAACGAACAAGTTATCGAGAACCCTGTCGAGAAACCCGTCGAAGAGTCTATCGAAAAGCCTGCTAAAGAGACGGAAGACAATCATACAGAGAAACCTGTACAAAAAGCTGAGAACGAGGATACCGAGATGTCCGCTGCACCCGCACTTGAACTCAAGTCAGGAGAAATGGATATCGACGAGCCTCCTGTTCGGACTGCTTCAGTCGCACCTGACAGTCAACCATCTCCTTCTAACAAGAAAGCCATGGATATGCCTTCTATAGCAAGTGAGACTGCGCCTATAGTGTCACTTGAGTCTCAGAAGACGGAACAAGCACCTCTGGGGACGTCCGGGGATTCGTCCAAGGACAAGTCTGATAAAGACAAGCTTGTCGAGATACCTGCAGAGGCGAATGGTGTACAGCCTACACAAACACAGATGGAAAAGCCAACGGAAGCCCGCCCTGAGACCACTCCAGAAAAACCAGATGATGTCGTTCCTAAGAAACCTGTAGAACCTCTTGCTGAACCTCGCACTGAGAATCTAACAGAGAATGCTGAAGCTCTTGGACATAGACACGTCGCCATTGAAGGCGCCCCTGTTTCTGTGATTTGCCCGAATGTTGTTTTGCAAACGACGGAAACAGCATCGAAGCCGCCTAGTACGCCGTCGCAGGTCGACGATGACGAGACTGAGTCTGAAGACGATTCTTTTATGAACCTTGATACTGTTCGGCAGTATATGACCACGCCTCCAATCGACAGTCTCCCTGACTATAGCTGCATGCCTTGGGACAAAGATAGTGCTTTCTTAAAGACCCTCGACTCCAGCATTACATTGGACGAATTTGTTGTCGAACACCTAGACAAGATGCATTTGGAGAAGTCGGCCGAACAGGACCACGACAGGAAGATCTATAAGGACAACTACGAGCGGTACCTGGATTTTACAATGTCGAATGATCCAGCGGCTGTCAAAAGCCGTGGAAAGTTTTCAGTGTCCACAGGCATTGAAATTACAGGCACCGTAACTCCTGAGCCAAAACATGAGGGAAGTGGTCGTGGACGTCGATTCGCAACCGAAAGAGACTTGGAACGAGTTTTGCAAGCATCAATGCGCGAGGACGAGGAGAGGAGAGAGCGCGAACTTAGAATGCAGCAGGAAAAGTATCGCACGGATAAGGAAGCCATTATTCCGAATATGATTTGGACCCAGGAAGAGAAGGATAATGCCAAATACCTCGACAAGAGCGGATTCACGCCCGTTGACCGGTTGGTATCAGCATGGCGGGTTTTGCCTCCAGTTAATAACTTCACCGAGGAAGAAGCCGGTTTGTTCGAGAAGAGATACTTAGAAGCACCTAAGCAATGGGGTCGGGTTGCCGAAGCGATTCCGCATCGTGATTTTGGTTCTTGCATTCAGTATTACTACATGAACAAGAAGGACCTGAATCTGAAGGAGAAACTCAAGAAGCAGCCTAAGAGGCGCAGAAAGGGCAAAGCGAAGCAACGATCTAGTGCATTAGTGTCGGAACTGGGCAACGGAGACGGAGAAACGGAAGAGAACCACGACACAGGAGAAAATGGTGAAAGGCGACGACCACGGCGAGCGGCTGCCCCTACATGGGGCTTCGAACAGCCCCCAGTTGACACAGAGAACTCGACACCTAATGCCACACCTGGTAGACGTGGCGGGTCCGCGAAGGTCGACCATCCTGAGAAAGTGGATGGAAGAAAGAGGCGAAGAGGCCCGAAGGAAAAGGAACCCAAGGCAGCCAAGGCGAACCAGACGTTGGCCGCAGCCCCTGGACCTGGCAAGGGACGATCGAGATCAAACTCGAGAGCGCTCAATACCGATGGACCTTCGACTCCACTTCCAGCCGCCGAGGCCCATCGTCTCCCAGGTCAGTTCGAGCAGCACCCTGCTGGTATGCAACTCCCCTTTTCCGTGCAGCAGCAGCAGCAACAGCCTATCCAAACTCTCGAACGACAGCAATCAGTTGCTCCATCCTCCATATCTGAAGTCATGGCCGCGCCTTCGCTTCGGCCGGATCCACCGCCTCAGCCTGCAATGGCTACATTCAACCTAGCCCACCCGCCGTCAGAGCGCAAAGCGCCTACTCAAGCATCCAGCTACTGGAGCGTGTCTGAATCTAATGACTTCCCGCACCTCCTGCGCTCGTTCGGCTCGGATTGGACAGGGATCGCAGCCCACATGGGCTCTAAAACCGCTGTTATGGTAAGTTCTAACTGTCTTACAAAGGGTCCACTGCTAATGCGCTTGATAGGTGAAAAATTACTTCGTCCGCCAAAAGGATCAGGGCAAGGCCGAGTGGGAGGTGCTTGTTCAGGAGGCTGACAGGAAGAGAGCAATAGGCGAGAAGTTGCCCGATCCTCCACAGCCATCAACAGGTGGGCGAGGAAGGAGATACGACAGTTCAGCTGCAGCTTCTCGACCCTTGGCTGTTGCCCCAGGTATCGATCTGCACGGAGAGACGTCTCAACCCAAGATGGAGCCATCGGTTCAGCCCCCTCGTGGCCAACCTTTCGGCATGTATGGCAGCCCTATCGCCCAAGCGCCTGTTACGCAGCAACCACTTGTTCAACCCCAGCAGCAACCCATGCCTATTGGACAACATCCACCTGCCCAGCCAGTAGCTCAGACTATGTCGCCAGGTCAAAGGCCTTTGAGAGCACCTGTACGGCAATTTGGATTTCCTGAGGGCGAGCGCGAGCAAAGTGTCCGGGTACCTCTTCCACAGAAGGCCTCTTCTAGACCTCCTGGTTCGGAACCACGGGAACAGCGGCCTCTGGCTGCCGCTCAGCCTCTACAGCCAGCTCGGAGCGAAGCTATGATCGAACACAATGCTCAGATGGAACGCCAAAAGATGGATATACAGCGGCTCGAACAGGAGCAGCTTGAACTGGCTCGACAGTCAGAAAGACGGGTCAAGCAGGAGCCTGAAATGACCCCACAGCCGCATCGCTACGAACCGTTTGGGCATCGTCAACAAGGGAGTCTTGGGGGCCAGCCGCTGGCAAGGCCACCGCAAGAGCCTGGACGCCCTCCATCTTATGCTCCACCTATGCAGCAACAAGCTCCTGTGCAGCCGGTACGAAACCTGATGGGTGAGCAAACCCCTGTTCGATCACCTCAGATGAACACTCCATCCAGCCGCCCCATGTCTGCTCTCCAGCATAGACCGTCATCTGGTTCGATGCACGAACAATATGGCTCGGCAACACCCCAAGCTGGCACTCCAGTTCAACCACCGGCAGCGGCGCCACGTCCAGCGGAGCCTCGTAAGGGAGGCCTCAACATCATGTCCCTGCTTAATGACGATCCTCCTCCGCAACCCAAGCGTGTCAGTGATGTGACCAGCACTCCTACGAGGCCATCACCTACGCCTCCGCCCCAGGCCATGGGCCGTACGCTCCCAGGGCCAGCACCGACTTCTCAGATGCGACGGGGCGAACCGGAGTCATACTCTCCTTACGGTCGAGGCACCCCAGTGATGCCATCCCTAAAGCCAACATATACGGATTCTCCTCAGCCTCAGCATATGGGCAGCTCGAGGGCATCCATCGGGGTCTCGCTAGAAGCAGCAGCAGCAGAAAGGGACTACTACAGGCAGAATCCTTACCAACCCAGTAGCCACAGCCGAACAAACTCACCACAAAGTGGCCATCGATATGCTCCTCCTGGACCTCCCGGACCCCCCGGGCCTCCTCAGTACCAGAACCAGGGATATCCGACTTCATATGCTGCAACAGGTCAACCAGCTCATGCCGGATCGCCAGGAGGGCAATACGCGCTTCATCCATCTGCCTCTCGGGCACGAGAAATACCTCAGGGTGGCCGTGAAGCTTCATGGCCGCCGCCTCAACAACCTCCTTCAAACATGCAGCAGCCGCCTGGATGGGCATCTCAACCACCACCAAATGCACAACCACCACCGCAGCAGCAGCAACAACAACCCTGGCCTACGCAACATCCGTCGTCAAAGCCTCAAACCCCAGCACCATCCTGGGCACCATCACAACCGCCTTCACAGCCTCCGCCTCAGCAAGCTCACCATATGTCCATAAGAGACGATGGCCGCAATTCTTACTTTGCCAGTGGACCTGGCATGCCACCGCAGCAGCATCAGATGCAGGGACGTTACCCACCAACGGCCTCGCGTGGCCCAGAGTCAGTGCCACCTCCGCAACCATACTCACGTTATGCTTCTACTCCTGGCCCTGGCCCGCCTCGAGAGATTCCCGGCCGCAGCTACACGCCCCTCAGTAGCTACGACTCCCGCGGGCCGCCTCAGCCCCCACCAGGAGCACCTGTTTACCCCGGGCACGATCCACGAGATCCACGAGGGGACCCTCGAGGTGATCCAAGGGGGGATCCCAGAGACCCAAGGGACCCAAGGGACATGATGAGGGGGGGGCTGAGACCGCACGAGTACGAAAGGCATCCAGACCACTATAGGAGATAGGTCGATATGGGGATGACTCAGATTCATACATTGGAAGTAAGACAGGATTCGTATTCTAGGAGTACCATCATTGAGTTTGGCGCAACTGAGGCGATAGGCTATGCACCATGAGCGGTCTGGATCTTGTGTAAATTATATACCTACACTGTAACTGATTTTATTAATTGGACAAGCAACGTAAACGATACAAACAAACCTGTTATTATCCCATCTGCTGATTTGTCGCTTTGCTATTGCATTAAATGTGTCGCTAGAGCTTCATGAGCCGAACCCCACTAATTAAAGTGAATACCCACTGTTAAGCAAACAACCCCGCCAAAACTTCCTCACGCTGGCGCAACGCGTTGAAACCAACGACAACCTTCAAAGGACACACAGAAATACTTTCATTATGGCCTCCCACTCAAGATCAGCATCCGCGATGGGCGGTCACGAGAAGACGTACTTTGAAGAGCAGCGTGAGGCTCTGATTGGCGAGATCGCAATGGCACGTTGCGTTATGTCTCCATTAGTAAATAGTGTCCTGCTAACATTATGCTGTTCAGAGCTTTGAGCACGTCTTGGCCAACATCAACAAGCTGAACCGGTCTCTCGAGGCAGTCACTGCTGTATGAACAACAGTCTCTTTCACGAGGACCAAGCTAACAGAAATGGGTGCACAGGTCGGCAACGAATTCTCCTCGGTCGAGGCGCTGTGGTCGCAGTTTGAGAACGTCATGGATAAAGATGGCAAGGCTGAGGGGGAGACGGAACAGGCTGATCAGACGGAGCAACATGAAGAAGAAGAAGGCGATACTACGGTGAAGCACGGGGATTCGTGATGGGAGCGTTGGAAGGTTGTTTATGATACCCCGCGGTTAACGAATCAATGAACGAGTAATACACGATGTCAAGGTAAATGATCACGAAGGACCGTTGATGATGATATAATTAAGCATAGGTATTTCTCATCAAGGTAATTAAATGTGTCACTTCATCAGGAGCAATGTTAACAAGCAATCAGTCTTGACTATCTGTTCCTATCTTTCTGGTTCTGGTGTCTACTCTTCACATCTAGCTTGATACCAAGACATACTTCTCAAATCCAGAGTCTAACAATCTGTATCAGAGCCAGTGTAGCAATCTTGATCTGGGTTTCTCAACTCAGGGTAGCAATCATCGGCCAACAGCTAGACAGTTCCAAAAAATAAACAAATCAATCAATCAATCGTCATCTTCGCCCTCGTCTCGGTACTCGGTATCCTGTAGGGCTCTTCTGAGGTTCTAAGGCGTTTAATACCCTCTCTCTCATCTCGGCATCGTGGCTGGTAGGAAACAAAGTCCGTATAATAGCAATTAGTAGGTGTTGTCTCAAATCATCCTCGCAAGTGTATGCGGTGTTTGGTCCGTATCATCACAGGTCGGTCTCGTGGACAAGCATCGCAAAGGGAAAAGCAAGTATAAAAGCAAACAAAAGGCAAAGCCAATAGTGCGCGCTCATCGCTGCGTCAAGTCGTGTTTGGGCAAATGCTCATCGTGGGTATCATGGTATATGTCATCATGATCGCTTTGCAATTCATAGCAAAAGCAATAGGTAGAGAGGGAGATAGCTCAGTATCTGTGGGCGCTAAATAGCTGCACCAAGTGGTTTATGTAGGGTGATAATATCGTGGTCTCGAATTTAGAGCCAGTTGTTGAGAAATCGTGTGATTTCTGTAGATGTTGTGGTAAACAAGTAGTTTAGAGAGAGCTTCATCCAAACAGGGGTATTCCTGTCAGATGGGTTTTGCAGAGCTCTGCAGTAAGTGCCTTTTTTTTTATAAGTTTTGTTGTATCTTTCCTCGTTTTTTTCTTCTTCTTCTTTTGTCACTTTTCTCTGCTTCTTCATCTCCCATTCCTGCTGATAGGAGACTAGAAAAACTCGTTGGTGGGATCGACAGTCTTGTCGACATGGTCAGCAGCGATGTCATGATAATCGCGGCCATGGTGGGCGGCTACCACGGATTCGGGGCTCTCAAGGTCGACAGGTTCGAACAGCTCATACTTGCGGTACGTGATTCCTTCTTCCTGCTCCGTTTTCCGGATGAGAGCGACCGCATGTTGCAGGTTGTCCAGGGGCTCATGGCCACAAGATTCGGAATAGCGGAGAATATCTCCCTTCATCCTTTCATAATCGCTATCCAGGTACTCGCACATTCGAAAGGCGTCGCTTGCCTCACGATTGAGTCGGACTGCAACGCGCCCGCCCTCAACGATATGCTTTTCCACAGATCGGTAAATCTTGAGTCGTCGGCGATGAGCGGCCTCCTCGCTCTGTTCGTGTTCCTGCTTCAGCTTTCGCTGCTGGTTGCGTTTGTGTATAGAGGCCACGGCATCTGCTCGATCCCACTCGTCCAAGATGATTTCATTTCGGGACATAGCCGGTTGGATCTGAGAAGTGTATTTGGCCTTTGCCAAGGAATCTATGTGAATAGATATCTGGATACGATCGCATTCGTCGAGGGCCATTCGTGGTTCATAGCCCTGGATAACGGGCGCTTCTGGGTGCGCGAGGGCGTCTTCGAGTTCAGCCTGGGGTTTCATATTAGCATCAAAAGCTGTAAGACAAAAGGGGATATAGACTTACTCGGCTAGGCTTGCAAGTCATAACAGACAATGCTCCGTCACTCCCAGCAGCTGAAGGAGCTTGTTGGTACAGCTGTTCTGCTTCGTCGTCACGAATCATCTCGCCGTTCGAGGTCAACTCGGCAATTTCATCTCGCCAAGTGATCACAGCTCTAGAATCGCGAGCAGCTATGCGAGTTAGTAGGTCGATGAGAGAGCAGCATATGTCAACTTACCGATCAATCGCTCAGGGCTTTCGTTCCGGACGTTCTGGAGGGTTGCGAAAAAGTCGGAAAGCCTCTCTACCTCGTGGTTCTTCATCAAAGCCTCCGTGGCTGGTTTTCCCGGAGTAGTATCCTCTGGAAGTGCTTCATCCTCGAATCCCTGTAATTCGGATACCATGTCATCAGTGTCGGCGAAGTACTATTTGTCGTTCAGTGGTTCCTGGTAATACCATCCCTCAGTGAGGAATCTGTTCTCGTTTCTGACTCTTGTCAGGATAAACTCAGTTTGGTCACTGGCACCGTCAATGTCCTCGACCTTTGTTTCTGGACTGTTCTGCCCCTCGCACTGAAGGTTGGTGTTCTGATGCTCGACACTCTGGATAACTTGAGAGGTTTTTGTGGCAGCGATCAAAGATTCATTGGAAGCGACTTTATTGGGCGGGAGCTCAAAGTATTCTGTCATCTCTGGCACCAATCGCTGTTCGTCCAACTCTTTGGGTTCGTCGTTGGCGACCGATTGCGTTTCGTCGATGCTTGGTCCAAGCAGCCCTATGCTGCGAATTCGATCAACGGTTGCAAGACTACTTCGGTGACGGGCATATGCCTATAGTTGACAGTCAGACGTCTGATCCCGGTTATGTCCTAGCCAATACCACAGCAAACTTACCTCTTCAACAGTCTCGACCTCTATAGGCTCTCCTCCGTGCTGCCAGGTCCGCGGTGGGTGCACATCTAGGAGTTGTTAGTTTGTACGAGAAAAAGACTTGTGTAAGCTTACCGTTGGTTGTATCACGGTCGACTGGTTCGTTGCCTGATTGACCTACTTCTTGCTGAACTTGATTCTGGTTTGCTTCGGCGCGAGTACCTTGGTTCACAGTTCGGTCAGATCCAGTCTTGATTTCTACAAGCCGCGCCTTTTTGTTCTCAATGTGAACTGCCTTAGCAACCAGAGTGTCGTGGCTCATAGACTCATCGTCCTCCTGATGGTCATGGCCTTGAGCATGGAAATATAAGGTCGGGGTCATCGCAGGTCGAGGGAGGAGATTGTGGTCCATGGAAAGATCAAACTCTGATGGATATGACTGGAGGCTCGGAGCCTTTGGGGATACAAGGGTCTTATAAGCCGGATCCTGCGTGAAAGTGTTGAGGTCGCCAGAGAACTCTCGAATAAGCTGGCCCATTTCATTTTTCCCGACTGGGAGCTCCCAATCGAGGCCCTTGAATGTTTCATCCTGCCTGTAAACATGTTGTTAGTCTTCTCGATCAAATTTAACACATCTGCAAAGAATACTTACTTGACGGTTTGATTGGCAAGTTGGCCATCACTCTGGTCGAGATCTTGCGATGATGATTGGGAATGGTTCTTGGTAGAAGACTCCGACTTGGTCTTTCCAATCAACAATGTTTTCAATCGAGGAGATAATCGGCCCTTGCGTTTCAATTTTCTGTTCCCATCACTCTTGGATTTTGCTTCTTCGTCAAACTTGTCGCTACCCATGAACACACTCAAGACGGATCTCAATGAGAATTTTGACGATGATTTACTCGTGAGTTTGTTGTTCATCTCTTCCTGTCGAACATGCTCTTCCTATAGAGCAATGCGTTCCTGCACAGCAATCTCTGTCTGTAGAGTAATCTCTTTCTGTAGAGCAACAATGGGTTCTCTTTGAGATGTGAGAAGCTCGCAACGTGCCAGTGAAGCTCCATAGCCATCTGATGTGTTGTCGCTTTCTTCTTTGGAAGGATATTCGTCTTCAGTAGTGTTTGAGTTTCCACTGCTGAGATGCGTGGATGGGTTGGATGTACAGTTTTGCCCGTCGATCGCTGCGATTTCATCGTTGATAACGGCATCACGGGTGTTTCCCTCAGAGACGCCCTGAAGGTTGGCTTGCTGTATGATAGCTGTGCATGTTGTCAAAATAGACACGTCGTCGCCATTCGCCTGACGATTAGTAGAGCACTGAGGGTTCTCACCAACAGGCTTTCGCGATGAGGTGTTGGAAGAGGTGAGGTTGGCTTGTGTCTCGCCACTTTCACCGACTTCGATAATGGGATCAAGCTGATGCGGGACGTGAGTGTTACCAGGTGTGGACTTTGTTCGCTTGTGGAGTTTGTTTCCCGACTTAGTGTCGAATAGTTTTTCCCAGGTTGATTTGTTATTCTTTCTCTCTGGGAGATTGTCGTGTGTGTTTGGTAGTTCTAGACGAACAGAGGTTAGTTGAGCCAACAGGCAAACAATAATGTTGGGTGCATACCGTCTACGCCCGCCTCGGACTTTTTCTTTTCATTCGTAGAGAATACATCTTGAAATGTCAGTCAGCATGTGATCTAGCATGTTTCTGGTATCCGTTGGCGGATGGGTCTGAAACTTACTTCTCAGCTCAGCTTTACTCTTCTTTACAAAGTCACGGAATTTGGCTTCTTGCTGCGAAGAAGGTCCTACCATAATATTAGTATGATGCTCTTGACGTAACAGAAGACAACATATTGGTATCGACTTACTCGTGGAAGTTCGGACATGGATGCCATCGTCATATCGGTGCTTAACTAGGCAGCTCGGGATCCATTTGCTGCTCCCAAGAGCAGCAGGGTAGGATGCAAAGCCCTGCATCGTGAAAGATAATTCGGAGAAATGTAGTGGGTGGTGATGATGGTGATGATGATAGGTAGAAGGGAATTCGGGGATTGTTGTGAGATGAAGTGTCAATGTTAGGTTCTTGGGATGATGTTTTGGTACTGAGGGTGAGGAAGTCGAGTGTGATGAAGAGAAGAGAAGGAAGAAAAACAATAGATGGAGGGAACAGAAGTAGAATATATAATGGAGTGGGATGCGCTTGTTTTGAAGAAATGAGCATGAATCATTCTGGCTGCCACTGCTATTGTCCCTGGCAGCCGGCAGCAACTGGTAATGCAAAGTGGGAATAGGGTCATGGACGGTTGGCACTGGCAGCTTCAGTGACGCTGCCAGTGACAACAGGGCCGATCCTCTCTAGCGAATCTCAGCTGTATTTACACAGTACGTACAATTTCATGGTCCTGAATGAAGACAAGAGACATAACACAAGCACTAGAAACTTTTCAGTTGATCATGCGACATGCTCATCTATAACTTTCTTAATCAAAAGTTACTGGGACTTCAAAGTGCATCCACAGATCAAATTCTTGCTATTTTTATGACTGTTATCAGAGTGTCCGAATCCCATTTCTTAGTTATTACTAGAAATCTATAATACAACGAGGGCTGGCTCGTTACCGTTGACTCCTTTTTCCCGATCTCGCCTCCATACTAAACACTAACTGAGTGTGATATGCCTCTTGCTTACAATGAATCACATCTGAATATTATCTGTTATACCAATGCGACGCAGAAACTCGACCGTCATTTACTTCTTCCCCTTACCCTTGGCACTGGTAGCCTTGGCCTTAGATCGCCCTCGCTTAGGTTTGTCCTCGTCGTCTTCCTCGTCGTCGGCAGCAGCCTTGGTCGCCTTCTTGGTGGCTTTCTTGGCTTTCGGTTTTTTGATATACTTGTCCTTCTTGAAATCGATTTCGTCATCTTCTTCGTCGACTTCGGGTACCTCGACTGCCTCGGCATCATCATCTTCGACAGCCTCCTCAAGATCAGGGACCTCCTTGGGCTGCGCCTTGGGAGCAACGACATTGCTGGCCTTCATGAAAGGAATTGGATGGCTCATTGCATTGTATCTGAAGAGCTCGTTAGTTGCATATCGGAACATGGGTAAATGGCCAACTTACGTTCGGGTGAAAGCAGCTTTGGTCTTGGTCTCAATCTTGACATGTTCCTCGTCCATCGGTCCGACACCAAGTTCCTGAACAGCATCGAAATCTTCGCGAGTCAAGAAGTAACTATCCATCAGATCAATGACCTCTGGCACAGCCTCGTTACCCTGCTTTTGTAGACGATCTACAAGCTGTGTCCAAAGGATAGGAAGGTACTGCTGGCGAATCTCGTTATGGTCACCAGAAGATCTGAGGCGCATATGAGAGTGAACCTCTCGAATCGATCTGCCCAACCTTCCGTATTTGCTATTGTTGCCCAGCCACGATGTGAAGTTGGAGCCCATGAGCTGGCCTGCTATAAAGCTGGCAGGGCGGACCGTACTAAACACGGCATGTGTGGGCATCAGGCTCCAATGTTGCTGAGGTCCGTGGATCATGCGATCGACAAGGTCTCCGTCGCTGATGCTCTCCGCTGCATTATCGAACAGCTCGAGAGCTTTGAGCTTGAGCTCACGTTGGTTATAGCCCTTTCCATTTAGCGCCATAGGTTTTGTTCGGAGATAGTTCTCTTGAATCATAAGATAACTGAACTCGTGGTCGTTGAAATAGAGCTCAATCTTGTCATTAAGCGTTGATTTGCTTGCGGGGGTAAACAGCCCACCTGCCAACATCTTTTGACAGATGTCCCACGGTTTGAGGATGACATGTTTTTCCCAAGCCTTCGACATGGCCTTGCTCTGGTCGAAGTCCATACTTGTCTGGTCTAATTTCGCTGTAGAAATCATATTGATGATCTGTCGAATATCCTTGTTGCTTCCCTCGATGAGGGCATCTACCACAGAAGGAGGAAGCTTGAGCCCTTCTCTATGGCAAATAGTCATGACGCGAGATCGAACTTGGTCCACTGTTGGGCGATTGAATCGAATGTCGAAAGCTACATGGTCGAAAGGCTTCATCTTGGGTAGTCTTCGCTCGTTGCAGATGAGTATCAGAGGAACCTGTGTCTTTTTGCAGAACTTTGCCAAAGCACCGACACCGCCTCGATCACCCGCAGACATACCGTCAACCTCATCCATGATGAGAACAATCTTCTTCTTGGTTGCATCAACATCCTTGCCATCTCCAGCAAAGTATCCGAGAAGCGATGTATTGTTCATCACATCGCTCACTCCATTTTCGACGAGCTTCTTGCTTCGAGCATCACTCGCGTTGCTCTCCAAAACGTCATACCCCTCCAGCTTCGCAGCTAGGTGAGCCGCTGTTGTCTTGCCGATTCCAGGGGGGCCAGATATGATGATGGCGCGCTCGCCACCCATCCCGTCAGCACCTCTTCTTTGAAAGTTGTATTTCTTGTGTTTCGGCCAGTTTCTGAGCCAATTTTGGATCTTTTCGACTTGGGCCTTATTGCCACAAATATGACCGAGCTGTGTGGGCGCATACTTTGAAGTCAGTAGCTGGACGGGGGGTGCCGCAGCAGCCTTCACGGGAGGACCTCCAGCGGCAGCCGCTTTTTTGGCCGCCTTCGCAGCCTCTGCCTTTCGAGCCTTCTCTTCGGCCTCCATCTCTGCAACTTGTTTCTTGACTTTGTCTTCATCTGCCTTTTTCTTCTCCTGGGCCTTCTGAGCCCCTCTGCCCCCACCTCCAAATGCAGGAAGTTTGCGGATCAAGTCGAAAAGTCCGTTCTCGTCAATTGTCTTGATTCCGATAGACTTAATCTTTGCCAACTTACTTGGCCCCGCGTCTTCTCCCAAAACCACAAAACTTGTCTTGCTGCTTGGCTGGCCGACGACTTTACCACCATACCTCTTAACAAGAGCTTGTCCCTCATCACGACTGATGGTTTGCAAAACACCAGTAAAGACAAAGCTAAGGCCAGTCAGGCATTCATCTGCGCCTTCGGGAAGCTCAGCTGCACCTGCAGATGGCTGAGCAGATGCATTACCACCTCCAAATGCGTTCTTTCGCCAATCAAACTTGGCATTGGAATCCTTGGGTGGTGGTGTAGGGGCACGAACGGTTGCAACACTGTCGAGAATATCCTTGATCTCGTCATCTTCAGGTTCGTCATTCTTCTTTCGTGAAGCCCGAGGTTTGGCTGCAGGTTTAGGTTTGGCTGTAGCCGCTTTCTTGCGTGGAGCCTCTTCTTCAGACTCTTCCGAGTCTTCGGATAAAGATTTTCGTTTTCTACCTTTCGCTGCAGGCTTGACTTCTTCTTCCTTCTCTTCCTTCTTGACGGCGGATGGGCGGCCTCGGGTAGCTACTCGCTTTGGCTTAGGAAGTTCCTCATCCTCGGATTCGTCCTCCTCGTAGTCGTCATTCTTGCGCTTACTCCCACCCTTGGCATCGGCTGCAAAGATATCTTCGTCGTCTTCATCTCCGTCATCCATGTAAGCATCAGAATCCTGATCCACATTTTGGCGTGAGTAGGAAGTTGTTGCTTTTCGTGAAGCAGGGGTTTTGCCATTCTTCGCTGGTGCCGCTGCCGCTGCCTTCGATGCAGTGGGCTTTGCTCGGGGACTTGATCGAACCGGAATATCAGGCCTGGCTGCAGGCTTTTTGGGTGTTGCTGAACTTGTAGGCTTGCTGTTCTTTGCCGAAGCGAAGTAGTCATCAGCAGAAATGGTCACGCCTTTAGGTTCCTCCTCCCTGTAAAAAGTCAATTAGAGGGCAATTGACGAGATAGAAGTCAAAGACAAACTTGGATTTTCTCTTTGGTGCGGGTTTGGGGGTAGACTTTTGCACTCTGCTACAAGATCAGCTTGATTGTAACAACAAGTGGAAGCAAAACAACATACTCTACTGCTTCATCTTCGTCGTCGTCGCTATCTTCAACAACCTTTCTTCCCTCTAGACTTATATTAGTACCGTTATAGTTCAAGAGTAGTATCATTTGGCCTACTTGTACGCTTGCTCTTGGCCAGCTCCTCAGCTTTTCTTGGGGCAGGTTTTGGGGCGCCACCACCCTTTGGTCCAAAGAAAGACCGGATATCAGAAGGCATTTTCGCGATCTTTCTTTCTTTTTTTTTTTTTCTTCTTGTTTTACTTATGATTGAAGAACCGCATCGACCTTTTTAATGGCATACGCCGATGTTGCCTGGGTGAGGATTGATAACGTGAATCCCAGGCAATCAAGGAGCTGCCTAGAAGTCCGAGTCTAGTGACGTGCACGGTAGCTCCTATCAAACGCGAAGCTGACGCGAGGTCCGTGACTGCTAGCTAAAGTGGTTCCAGGTTTGTGGGCCTTGAAATTTAGGCCTCAACATCAGTCCACCTTCGGCATCGGGAAGATTTTCTGGAGCTCCGTTGTTCGAGGCAGCTTCAAGTCAACTCCGGTCGCCGCCATGAAGCCCGCGAACACATCGGCATTGCTCAATGCTTTCCAAGGCTTGAGGTTGTGCGCCTCTTCGCCTCTCCGACAACTTCGTGCCCCTCTCCAGCAGTCTTCGAAGACCCTTGATGCGATTCGACAACCTCAAAATGTCCGAGCCTTTTCGACGACCCCCTCGATGTTGGGCAACTGGCTTGAGCCAAACTTGAACCGAAAGAAGAAGATGGCAAAGGGACGGCCTCGCGTGGCTACAGGTGGTTCGACAAAGGGTACGACAGTGATTTGGGGCGACTATGGTCTGCGAATGACGGATCACCACCGAAGAATCAGCGCCAAGCAGTTGAAGATGGCCGAGGACACCATTAAAGTGCGACTTCGAGGGCAAAAATACCGATTGTACAAGCGAAAGAACTGTAACGTCGGTGTATATGTCAGCGGTAACGATGTAAGGATGGCCTTTCTGGACTTGAGGGGAACATTGGCTCATGGTTTTATAGATGCGTATGGGTAAGGGTAAAGGTTCATTCGATCATTGGGCGACCCGAATGGCTGTTAGCCAGATTCTGTTCGAAATCCGAGGACGGCTTCACGAGCAAGTTGTGAGAGATGCTTTCCGCTTGGCTGGTAACAAGCTGCCTGGTAAATATCTTACAACCTTTTTTATTGAGCATGACTAATTACAAATTTCAGGTCAATGGGAATTTGTCAAGAAGGGAGAGCCACCCATGGTTGGTATCACCAAGTTGGATGGCGTGACTCTAGAAGAGTTGAAGAGACCTCGACGACACATTGCTCCCGTTGAACTACTGGAGGCTTCCTCGCCTACAACTGAGACTCTGGTCGGGAGCACTTCTGAGGCTTCCCGCAATCCCTAGAGGTTGGAATGATGAGACAATGCCATGTACATTATAGAAGGTGTAGATCTGCTGTTGTAACTTGTATGAATACCAAATTCAGGATCTACTAATTCTGGAAATAAACAAAATGATATTTATATTAAATAAATTTACAACGGCATAGAACCAATGCTAATGTTCATCTCTTCTTGAAAAGCATCAGTGCTTTCTTCGTGCCAAACAATTTCAACCTGTGCCATATCCTACCTTATGTTCGTTGCCTGCTGAACGGTTGTTACAGTTGAAAGCTGTGCACGGACCACCTCATATTCTAGACATCATCCACCCTGCCACTTTACGCGACAACGCGTCTTCCCCCATTTCCCAAAAAACTGTCTCGACACAATTCTCACTTCCAGACCAGGCAGCTACCACGATGGCACTTATTGTTGACAAGCACCGACCTCGGTCTCTCGAGGCCCTCACATACCACAATGAGTTGTCAGATCGACTTCGCTCTCTTGTAAGTCAATAAACCTGGCCTGGCTGAACAGCATTGTTGACTAGTATCACTTTCAGGCCCAGAGCGGTGACTTTCCTCATCTACTTGTGTACGGACCTTCAGGTGCTGGAAAGAAAACTCGAATCGTGGCTACGCTGAAGGAGCTTTATGGACCAGGTGTGGAGAAGATCAAAATCGATGCTCGAGTATTCCAGACGACTAGCAATCGAAAGCTCGAGTTCAACATTGTCGCCTCCGTCTACCACCTCGAAATCACCCCGTCCGACGTTGGAAACTATGACAGAGTTGTTGTTCAGGACCTTCTAAAAGAGGTTGCACAAACGCAACAGGTGGATCAATCAGCGAAGCAGAAATTCAAGGTCGTGGTCATCAACGAAGCAGACCACCTCACGAGAGATGCACAAGCAGCTCTGCGACGAACGATGGAGAAGTATTCGCCCAACTTACGACTTATCCTCTTGGCGAACTCGACTGCCAATATCATTGCTCCGATTCGTTCAAGAACTCTACTGGTCAGAGTAGCGGCCCCAACGCATGAGGAAATATGTGATGTGCTAGCCGTATCGGCGAAGAAGGAGGGTTGGCCCGTTGTGGAGGGTCTTCACAAGCGAATAGCAGAGGAGAGTGGACGAAACCTTCGACGAGCTCTCTTGATGTACGAAGCCGTTCATGCACAAAAGTATATTTTCCCTAAAGCAGTTGATGGCTGTGGCGTGAAGTGAAAGCTAACCTAATTGATAGTGAGAAAGTCACTGATAGCACAGTCATCCCACCGGCAGATTGGGAGGCCCTTATCGGCCAGATCGCAAAGGAGATCCTGGAAGAACACTCACCAGCCAGGATCCTGCAGGTGCGGTCAAAGCTTTACGATCTGTTGACACACTGCATCCCCCCCACTACTATCCTCAAGACCTTGGCGTTCAAGCTGATTGCCCTCATTGATGATGGGCTGAAGGGCGAGGTCATTCAGTGGGCGGCTTTCTATGAGCATCGTATCAAGACCGGAACCAAAGTTATATTCCATCTGGAAGCTTTCGTGGCGAAGTTCATGAGGATTGTCGAGATGTATTTGATGAGCATGGATATGTAATTATACCAGAGGATACTCGGCGTTTAGGAAGGTTGATGTAGCAAATCTACAGAACTCGACGGTACATGCGCGTCGATGCTTCACTTTGTCTCACTACCAGTCATAACTCTTATGATGTATTATATAAATGTAAGCTGGTCAACGAGAACCATGGCCATATTGTGAAGTGACTGAACAAGAGATATTGGCCCCGAGAGTACATACGAATCTCGTTGAAAGTCAAACTTGAGATACCCTCTTACAGAAAAATGCCGTGGAGCCCCGGACCCGATGCGAGAGGGTTATGATGAAGCGGGGAATGGGGAGGGGGAAACGGAACCTTGTTTAGATACCGTGTGCCTGGCTAGAACGCATGGAGAAACGGAAGGAGTATCATTGGCTATGCTAAAATTCCCATATGTTGGAGAGCATCGCTGATATTGACAAGCTTATTATGCCAAGTCTGTTGTTGATCTCATATAGAGATGCCTATTTGGCAAGTTATAGCATCTTCGTCTTTCAGCTTCTCCGGCAGCCAGGACGAGGAGAGATCCATTAAGTTCAAGTAAGTGCCATTGCGAATGTGGGAGTACTCGGTATCCTTCTCAGCAACTTTAGTGCAAGACACGAGTGTACCGTATGATGACGCATTCACCATTGAGGATAACCGCGGGAACTCGTGAGGAAGACCGGCTGGATGAGAGGAGGAGCCAGATCTGACATCCGTAGTGTGTGCGTGATCTGTCTTTCAAACGAGTGACAAGTTCAAGACACTGTATAGGAAAAGCCAGGCGGTCATGGCAAACGGACAAGTTCCATTCGTTGATTGCATCACTTTTTGACAATATCTCGGTCGAGTCCCGAAGATACGGCCAGCCGGCAACATTCTAGATCTTAAGCGTGGCTGGAATTACAAGTGAAGCCACAATCCTTGGGGTTCAGTGGCTTCGGCTATGAGATGCACGTCGAACCGACCGTTGGGGCATGGGGACAGGGATTGACTTTGAAGGATTGGCATGGAGATGCCAATTGGAGACAGTCATCATGATGGGCGATCTTGCGGGAAGCTAGCGGCGACACGGAGAATCACTTTAGTCTTTATTTGTAGTTACAAGATCTTTGAAATCAGTGATCTTTGGGACGCCTGTTGTACACATGTTGATGAATGCAGTAGTACGTAGTACAATGTCCTGTTCTCCAAACTTGTGATATGTGTTTGAGTAACTTTGGTTCACAATCTCTAATACTGTACCAAAGGTGCTGCATCAGAGATATGTAAAACTTTCCCCGAAAGAGGGAAGTACAGAGTACAGTACTTTCTACAAAGACCCGCAAAGGCACAGCAGAAATGTCCTAACAAACTCAACTCTGTTGAGGAAACTCACAAGGGAATTAGACCCTGAATGTTTAGCCATGAAGGGGCGAAGTCGGAGGCTGAGATGGGCCAATCAAGTTGCACAAATCTTGACCCCAATGCGGGGGGCGTGTGAGGGGCATCTGCAGCTGCCACGCTATAACAATGTGGGGTCCAATTGAAGCCCATTAAAACCGATTGCCTCGAAACGGCAATAAGACAACAACCAGTGGATAAGGAAATCCGCCGTATATCCCGTTGCAGACATTAGTGCTGGAAGTATTACCAGTTAGGAATCAGAGCATAAAGCCTTTCGAACAGGGCATTCATCGTCGTAGCGATCTCGGCTCGTTGTCGACAGATAGGGTCAGTGTTGTCCTGCATTGGCGAAATGCAACGCCTTAACCGGGTTCCACTATATTGCCGGCCTCCCAAAACTCCACCTCCTTCGTGACTACGATCAATCACATAACACGTTTTGGCTATCAGTGCGGCCCCATAGCGGCTCCGTCATGTTGGATGCATCTCTTCTCAAGGCTGTTCATTCATGCTTCCCGAGTAATGATCTGTAATATCAATCACAGTAGCCGGAATGTTACTCTGGTGGTGAGAGTACCTAATTGTGCATGCTTTGGCTGTCTGTCTGTTGGCTGACATCCAATGTTGACATCACCGGTTCTATTTAAGAAATAATCTTCTGTTGGAATTGGAGCATTGGTCTATCCGGCTGCCGCAGACAGTTCGGCATGCTGGCTTGTACAGGGGTTTGATGATGCCAATTCTTGAAAGGTGGATGTGCTAATGCATCGTCGATGCTATCAGATTCGCAGTCATGTTACTATGTAGCCTGAGCCTCCAACGTTGGGGGTTGAGAAGATCAATACTATTAGAAAGTCTCGTTTCTAGTTAACTTTCATCGTATGTATATTTCTCTTAATCCAATTCATAACTATCAACGCAGAGTGCGACACGTCAATGAGTATGGCTAGGTAACGTCTTGTTGAAGGCATGAAGACGATACGGTCAAGCTTGATTATCGGGAGCAGTACTGCGTAGTTACAGCATATATCTCAATCAAGTCGAAGTGAGCTTTCTCTACGCATGTGTTTTAAGTAGAAAATTACAAGAATAACCAGCATAGTGGAGATAAAGTGGTAATAAAGTAGATGTTAGCATTCAGGTCATCATGTTCAAAGGAAGACAAAAGCTAGTGAAACCAACCATACATTCTTTCTCGGGCGTAGGGCTTCGGGATAGAACCGATGCGGCCTGATATGGATGAATGGCCGGGAGGAAAATAGGATAGAGGGTGCGACAAAAGGCTTCTCAAATGTAGCGGCCACAGTCCACAATGTTTTGTATATCACATTGGCATTTGTGTAATGGCGACGTCAAGTCGCATATTATTTACAAGGTCCTATTGCTGACGGGCAGATGCCGTGCTAAGTATTTTGGCCACTCTGAATGCCGAGGATTCAATGTGAATCTTTGGTGACGATCAGCAATGACTATCAAACTTGTATGCACTATTACAGAATTGCTAGTGGATGAGAGTCGCTAACTCACTACTGGCTATTCGGGACTTGAGGTGGCTCGGGGGAAAGGATCACGGCAAGACCCCCCCGGTTCGCCGGCCGCAGTTCGGGTTTGGTGCCAACACCACTGAGACTGATCCCAGTTGGTGCAGGTACCAGTGACAAGTTACAACGGCCGGCCGGGCCTTCCAATGATGATGGACCCATTTGCCATAAAGAAAGCTCCCCCCGCAAGCCGGACCTCATCAAATCTCTGGATTCGTCTCAACTATTTCTCCAGCTCCTCCCCCTACTCTAAATCCAACTAAACACTTCTCTCTGTTTTACTCTTCACTGCCATCTCCAACCTCGCCTCCAATTCAATACTTACAACTCAACTGCGCGATCTCTGTACCTCCATCGAACAGCAACACCGAAAGCTGTAAGTCCTGCAAGTACAAGCAGTTCTGACAAGCTCCACGGTCACGCTACCCCGCCATCGACGTTGCACCCACCGGCGCAACGCTCAACGAAAAAGAATTATTTTGAAATAAACCCCCAACGACAGACACAATGGCAACCGCCGTCGAGCAACCCCTAGTGCCCCAGGAGCTCAGGACTTCGGCTCCCGAGTCTCTCCCCAAGAGTGCTATCCCCGCTGTCGTTGCTTCTCCCGTTCCCGCTCCTGCAGCCACCGAAACTGTCTCATTGAGAGCTGAGGAGACTCCCGCTCCCGCTCAAGAGACAAAGGCTCCTGTTGTCGCTGAGGCTCATCTCGTTGATACCTACCGTAAGTTTGCGCAACCGACTCTACCTCTCGTTGGAGCTGCATCGCTAACTTTCAGCTTAGACCCTCCTCAGCGCATGTTTGCTAGTATGTCAATTGCCCCCTTTGTTTTCTGTTGAGGCGAAATTACTCGCCGCAGTGTCTCCCGCTAGACCCTGCTGTGTGGCTCTTTGCTTATTCTTGACTCCATCGTGCTCCGTTTACTTGGCTCATACTAACCTTGTAACCCGGCAGAGCATCCCCACCGGCCCCACCTTGCCAGTAAGTGATCCCGGCTTCCGCACCGGAGCCTCAACATGAGCTGACCCACTCTCATAGACCTCGAGGAGTACAAGCGACTTTACAAGGAATCCATCACTCAACCCGAGAAGTTCTGGGCTGAGCGCGCACGCGAGCTCATCTCCTGGGACCGCGACTTCCAGACCACCCGAAGTGGTTCTCTTCTCAATGCCGATGTCTCATACTTTAACGAGGGTCGCCTGAATGCCTCATACAACTGTGTCGACCGTCATGCCTTCAAGGACCCCGATCGTGTTGCCATCATTTATGAGGCCGACGAGCCCAGTGAGGGTCGCAATGTCACCTACGGTGAGCTCCTCCGAGAGGTCTCTCGTACCGCCTGGGTTCTCAAGCAGATGGGCGTCCGCAAGGGCGATACCGTTGCTATCTACCTTCCTATGATTCCCGAGGCCATCATCGCTCTTATGGCATGTGTCCGTATTGGTGCCGTGCACTCCGTTATCTTTGCTGGTTTCTCTTCCGACTCTCTTCGCGACCGTGTTGTTGACGCCGGCTGCAAGGTTGTTATCACAACTGATGAAGGCAAGCGAGGTGGCAAGTTGATTGGCACCAAGAAGATTGTTGATGATGCTCTCAAGCAGTGCCCTGCTGTTGAGAACGTCCTTGTCTACAAGCGCACTGGCTCAGAAATCCCCTGGACCAGCGGCCGTGACTTCTGGTGGCATGAGGAGGTTGAGAAGTGGCCCAACTACTTCCCTCCCGAGCCTGTCGCTTCCGAGGACCCTCTATTCCTCCTTTATACCTCCGGCTCCACTGGCAAGCCTAAGGGTGTCTTGCATACAACCGCCGGGTACCTCCTCGGCGCTGCTATGACCGGCAAGTATGTCTTCGACATCCACGAGGGCGATAGATACTTCTGTGGTGGTGATGTCGGCTGGATTACCGGCACACCTATGTCGTTTATGCCCCTCTTATGCTCGGTGTATCCACAGTTGTATTTGAGGGTACACCTGCCTACCCCAACTTTTCGCGATACTGGGACATTATCGAGAGACACAACGTTACTCAGTTCTACGTTGCTCCCACCGCCTTGAGACTTCTGAAGCGTGCCGGTGACGAGCATGTTCGTGGCAAGTTCGCTCATCTTCGCGTACTGGGCTCAGTCGGTGAACCTATCGCCGCTGAGATCTGGAAGTGGTATTTCGAAGTTATTGGAAAGGAGGAGTGCCACATTGTTGATGTAAGTTTCTCATAGGCATCAGTTTGGTGGTCGCCGCTAACATTGATTATAGACTTACTGGCAAACCGAGTCTGGCTCTCATGTTCTCACACCCTTGGCTGGAATTACACCAACCAAGCCCGGCAGTTGTTCTTTGCCCTTCTTTGGGGTTGAGCCCGCTCTCATCGATCCTGTTTCTGGCGAAGAGATTCACGGCAACGATGTTGAGGGTGTGCTGACCTTCAAGCAGTCCTGGCCTAGCATGGCTCGCACCGTATGGGGAGCCCATAACCGGTACAGAGAGACTTACCTTGATGTCTACAAGGGCTATTACTTCACTGGAGATGGAGCTGCTCGGGATCACGAGGGTTTCTACTGGATTCGGGGCCGCGTTGACGACGTTGTCAATGTCAGCGGCCACCGACTGTCCACTGCTGAGATCGAGGCTGCTCTGTTGGAGCACCACTCTGTTGCTGACGCAGCTGTCGTTGGTATTGCTGATGAGCTTACTGGCCAAGCTGTCAACGCCTTTGTTGATCTCAAGGAGGGCGTTGAGTCAAGTGATGCTCTGCGCAAGGAGCTTATTGTCCAAGTGCGCAAGAGCATTGGTCCCTTCGCTGCTCCCAAGGCGGTGTACGTCGTGCCTGACATGCCCAAGACACGAAGTGGCAAGATTATGCGACGAGTGTTGAGGAAGATTGTTGCTGGTGAGGAGGACCAGCTCGGAGATATTACTACTGTGAGTCATCTCCTCCGCTTACCTCGAGTGGTGTTTGTAGCTAACATAACATACAGCTTTCTGATCCCTCTGTTGTTGAGAAGATTATCAAGGCCGTTCACGATGCCAAGCGCAAGTGAGGCCAATGAAGATAACGGTTAAAAAGACATGATGCATATTATCTATTGGAGTTATATGCCATGGATACAAGGCAAACGGGAAAGGAATATTTGCTGACGATGGAAGCGGCCTGGAATGACATTTCCGTTCGGTGTTTGGGGTTGATATTGGGATTCAGCCACTACCTGGAAGAGGATTTTGATGGCTTACGTACCATTTATGAGGTTGATTTATGAGCATTGCGGCCTGATTTTTCGTACACATATTTCTTTCAAGTTGGCAAGACAAAATGAAAGTCAAATAATGAAACATTTGTTAAGACATCAATGACGTCCGTGGTGCAGGGTAGTGGTGTCAAAGAACCCAATTGCAACCACAACAAGTGGTTGATATCAAAACAAGGTTCTGCACGAATATTTCTGGGAATGGCTGAATGTTTCCTCTTGTTGAGTTTGACTTGGAGGAGATTTGGGAAAAACAGCGCATTACGCCGGCTTTCAGAGGACGCGTGGATACAAGCCCGCTTTGGAGTGGGATATCAAGTGGGATGATGCGAAAGAGGAAGCGGTCACGATGATTTTTAACGACGTTCAAGATTAAGCTTCAGTATTTCTAGGTCGTCGCGCGGGGCTACGGGAGGTCTAGATCGAGAGGAGACTTGAACGATTTTCACAGTTGCAGAGATATCAACCAGCTCAACGAGTCAAAAGCGTCAAAAGACGGTTCCACTGCGCTGCCAAGGACGGTGAAGTCGTCATCGTTTTTGGGGGCTGTTGGTCTCTGTGTCTGTTTTGAGTTGCAAGAGTGGGATAGTTAAGAGTGATTTTTATTTCCCGCTTACTGGAGGCTGCGTAAAGTTGAGGGGCCGACTTTATTCTTTGGCTCGTATACAAGGTATTTAAAGAGCAGTGATTTAAATTGAATTTCCGATGACATCGTGACATCGTTGTAAAACAAGCCTTTTCAGCCACGGCGTTTGATAGGAAATCTTGGGACAGCCCGGTAAAGGAGCAACAACGTGGCAGTAGAGTCTATCGTTTATCTGGGTGATAAAGTCTGTCATCAACACCTTTTATGTCCGATGAATATCAACTCGTCAATGCCAAGAAACTTGATGATTTAAATGACTAGCAGCGGGGAAGAAGCAGTCTAGTCCAGGATTGTAAATGGTTGGATGAAAAGATACGAGGGCGAAACATATTGACCTCGGTCGGATGTGCCGGTGAGGCTTTGGGAGGCCGCCTGTAATCAGATGGACTGGACACTATCAATCGGAGTCAATCTTTATGTTGGTCTGTATGTTAATACAAGGGTTATCGATATGTCTTGCCAAGCCTCGGACATGGATCTGTCAACATCCGTTGACATTGAGTTTCATAATAACTCTGAGATTCATGGTAAAGTTGACTGACAGTTGCTAGTAATGGCTGACAAGCATGACGCTTGTTGTTAGGGAGGCTATGCAGTAAGAGAACCGCGCGGCCTTTGACTCGTGATTCGCTGGCCAAGAGACTTGGTTGTCCCTCCAGCATCCACACCCCAGCCCTCGGGAACCTTGGAACCCTTGGCATAAGGTAAAAGCCAACGGCGTTAGAAGGATCTAACCTAACCTAACAGCTAACAGGCTCTAAGCACCCTCCGCCACACTCTGTTTTGCCTTTCCAACTCCCTACAGTTGAACTGGAGTGACCTGAAATATCCATCCGTACCTTAGTTCCATGTACTGTATTATTCAGATCTCATGCTGATCATGCTACACGATTAGTTGTTTCGAAATCTTCTTCTTCTTCTTCTTCTTCTCCTCCTCTACTCCTCCTTCTCAACTCCTCCTTCTCATTGTGTATCTATCCTCTTTGTTCTACCTCGAGATACTTGGACCCTGACTTCTTTCTCCACATTCTCCTTTGACGTTCCAAATAAGTTCCCGTAATACTTCCGACTCTATTTCGGCCGCTCCGTCTGATGATCTTCGTCTCACCTTGATTACTTCTCATCTTACAACCTCCGTTCTCCTCAACTCGACTGTTTCTTCTGTATTACTGTATGGCCTTGCAGTGATATCGCTCTTAATCGGCGCGTCGCCGTGTCTCTTCCAGGACCGTTCGAGGTCCGACAAACACCATGGTATCATTACGGTCGATTGCGACCGCTATTACGGGTGTGGCTCTGTTCTTTGAAACCTCACTAGGTATGTTAGACACTCGAGATTCACCTCATGCTCCTGTGCGGTCTTCTAATATCCTCGAAAATAGCGAGCTCAGTTAAGCGCAACGCCGTTAACTACATATCGTTCATTGACGAGCCTGTAATCAACACACCGTCACACCGTATACGCGCCGACTCGCACTTTGATCTCCTATTCTCACTACACAATGGACAGCAGAAGATTCGCCTCAAGCTCGAACCGAACCACGACATTCTACACGAGAACTTCGCCATCACTCACATTGGCGCCGACGGTGCCGTGCGATCTGTCGAGACAGTAAACCGAGAGGACGAAAAGGTATTCAAGGGACATGTGTTTATTCAGCGAGTCGGACGGGAAGGTTGGACAAATGCCGGCTGGGCAAGAATAACAATGCATCACGATGGAAAGGAACCTGTTTTTGAGGGCACTCTGCGGATCGACGGCAACCATCACCATATCCATACCGGCACCAACTACCAGCAAGTTCGACATGAAGACGACCCCATTTTGTCAGCATCAGAGGCTCGGGACGATGTCATGGTTGTCTGGCGGGACTCAGATATCATGTCTTTTAACCCTACTGAGCTCAAGAGGCGTGGGGCTTCGGCTGCACTCTGTGACTCTGACACATTGGGTTTCAACAGCAAGTTTCATGAGCTCCAAGACTTTGACACATTTGGTGCAGCAAACACTAAATCCCTTTTCGGTCGCCAATCTATCGACACAGGCACAGGGAACGACGGTTCGAGTGTTGATCTTGAGTCTACAATTGGTTCTGTGAACGGCTGCCCGACCAGCCGAAGGGTCGCCCTTCTAGGAATTGCAACCGACTGTGGATACACTTCCACATTTAACTCTACTGAAGCTTTGAGGAAGAATGTCATAAGGATGGTCAATGATGCTTCCGAAGTCTACGAAAAAAGCTTTAACATTACGCTGGGTATCCAGAACCTCACTATCAGTGACGGATCATGTCCAGGAAGCCCATCGGATACAGCCCCTTGGAACCAAAAGTGCTCCAATAGCGTGGACTTGTCTGATCGCCTGAACTTGTTTTCTGCCTGGCGCGGTCAGAATGAGGACAGCAACGCCTACTGGACTCTTCTGAGCACTTGCAACACCGACTCTGCTGTTGGTCTTGCATGGCTGGGTCAGCTCTGCCGCCCTGGTGCCTCAGCTAACTCCAACACCGGAGGTCGTAACGAGACAGTTGCTGGAGCCAATGTTGTTGTCAAGACTTCGGCAGAGTGGCAGGTATTTGCTCACGAGACAGGGCATACTTTTGGTGCCGTCCATGACTGCACTTCCCAGACGTGTCCAGTCTCGTCGGATGCGCAGTCGTGCTGCCCATTGAGTAAGAGTTCGTGTGATGCTCAGGGTGACTACATCATGAACCCATCTTCAAGGGAGGGAATTAGTGAATTCTCCCCCTGCACCATTGGAAACATCTGTTCAGGGTTCAGACGTAATGTCAATACGGAATGCCTCACCGATAACAGAAATGTCAAGACCATCTCGGGTCAACAGTGCGGTAACGGAATTGTCGAAGAAGGCGAAGATTGCGACTGCGGTGGTGAGGACAGCTGTGGCGACAACCCCTGCTGTGATGCAAAGACATGCAAATTCAAGGGTCAAGCTGAATGCGATAACTCGAACGAAGAGTGCTGTACGGATAAATGCAAGTTCGCATCTTCAGGAACTGTCTGCCGCTCAAGCACAGGCCCTTGTGATCCCGAGGAGAAGTGCACAGGAAACAGCGCAACATGCCCCAAGGACAAACACAGCGACGATGGTACAGACTGTGGTGATAGTCTCCAGTGCGCATCAGGTCAGTGTACATCGCGAGATGAGCAGTGCCGAGCAAACTATCAAAACACGACATCCTCCAGTGTAAAGGCTTGCACCAACAGCTGTCTTTTGTCTTGCCAGGCATCGGGCGATGGCTTCTGCACGCAACGAAACCAAAACTTCCTCGATGGTACACCTTGCGGCGGCGGTGGTCGATGTCAGAATGGTAGCTGCGAGGGCGCTTCGACGTGGAAGGAGATTGAGAACTGGTTCAAGAACAACAAGAATATTGCCATTCCCGTGGGGTGCGTTCTTGCTGCACTCCTCCTCTTGTCCATCTCTTGCTGCTGCTTCAGCTGTATTAAACGACGCATATCTCGCCGCAGGGCAGCTAAACAACCAGCCATGGGCGCGTGGCCAGGATATCCTCGAGGTCCCGTTCCGAACCAACAAGGACCCTACACGTACGCCCCAATTGATAACAACAATGGCTGGCAGCAACAGAGGACGCGCAGTATGAGATATGCTTAGACTTTTTTTTTTTTTTTTTTTTTTTGGGTGCAGAGGGGCGGATTTTACCTGTCCGATACAGCATTTGCCGGCGTTTTCTTTCTGGGCACATTGGTTTGAACATTGTATTTCTTTCTTGTAGTCTTTTTTTTTTGTTTTGTACCGAATGGATTTGGACTTCCGCACGTGCATCTTGACATTGTTTTCAACTTGTTGATTAGCGAACCAGGACATATAAGACGGCGGACTTGGAGAAGTACCTATGTAGTTGGTGGACAAACGCATAAGGAACAGACACTTACACATACACAGCGATACACGCATACATGTCTATATTAGATATTAGCACGAGACCACAACGACAATTAGAAGAGGCAAAATGCCAGTATTTATTTGGTTTCATCTACTGGACCAGAACCTTACACCGAAATGGGATTACCAAGAGTAACATTTGTTACAGCTGCACTGAACAAGCAGAAACAATATCATTTCATCTGATTCCATTACTTGAAAGTCGTGATTCATTATAAAGGGACTGTGATGGTTCGCTAAAAGATCCCTATTTCACCAAGTGCAGTCTTCTTCCTTCCCATGACGAGAACTCTGTACTATCGAGTGATTCTATCACTAACCCGGCGACTCTGCCTACTCCTCGCCGAGGAGGTCGACGTACTGGTATCGTCGTGCTTATCGTCGAAACCACATAATTGGCGCATAAATCGGAGGCGTTGACCAGCGATACTCTGTACGTGATGGTTTAGCATGGTCACCATTTTCATATTCATACAAGAGGATACATACGTCGCCGCTGGCTTGCGCATGTGCCATGAGAGCCGCAGGGTTATCCAGAATGTACATAGCTTCTCCTCTTCGTTCCCTCTCCATGTGTGTTTCATAAATTTGGCTGTAGGAATCAGTTTCGGTGCCAAAAGACAGTGAAGCGGGAGAACGATACCGCGGTCCAAGGCGCCTTGGTTCGGCATCGCTCACGTCGCTTTCCTCGCTGTATGGATTCTTTCCGCGAGCTTGTTTATCGCGCATTTCTTCCGTCCATTCTGACGAGCGACTTGATTGGTGGTGTTGTGTTGATGAAGACATTGTTATGAATGGTTTCGGTGGTTGGTGGTAGTAGGTTGTTTGCTTCTTTGAGAATAATGCTGAAGATGTTTGAGGGTTGAAGCTAAAGGTGATTCAGAGGCGATAAAATGGCTTCTCCTTATATATAATAAGAAGAACGCAGAAACAAAAAGTGATTGATTACACTTCCCGAGTCATTCACATCCATTCACATCCAATACAGCTCAACTAATAAACTCCCAGTGACAACAAGCGAGACAGGGCCTGACCTTGAAAAACGGCCAACCTCTCCAATGGAAGCGGGGCTCACGTCACTTACATAAACCTCGAAAGTAAAAAGAGAGAGGAAACAAAAGAGAAATACAGAGCTAATGCAGGGAACATGCAAATGCACATGGCCTCGAAGGGAAATGGAAAATCGGGCGGGCGAACGAAACGAAACCAAACTTTGTGGGGGCGGAATATTTTGGGGCTAGACCGTCCACCGACGATAGAGGCACTAACTTACAGTGAGTGTGCCGTGTGTGGTCTACCATGAGAGAGACCATCTCACATGATAGAGAGAGTCATTACGACATATATACGCTCATTTATTCTATATGCTTTCCATAATCCTTCACAGTTCTGTCAAGATAACGCAACAATTGCCAAATAACAAAGTCAACCGCCTCAAAAAAAAGCAACACACAATGACCTGTTCTCTCACATCCATGATAATGCATTATATACTTTTTGATCTGCAGCTGAGGCTGAGACATGCAAGGCAAACAGTGCGTGGTGTCTCAGTCTGCAATTCAACCTCCAATCACGACCTTCTGTCACAAATGACTACGCCAGAAAAGACGGGAGAGGGGGCCATGAAATCCTCGGCTACCTGGTATAGACGACTACAGGTGAGATTCCCTGTCATGCTGAGCCTCAACAACTCTACAGCTGAGAATTCTACACTTCTTCAGATCCGACTGGCTTTGATATGGCAAGGTCTCGAAACTCGAATGTGTCCCGACGCTGTGGCCCCTCGTATATATACCCTATCACTGTCAAGCACCGAGTGCATCTCTTCCGTCTTTCTATACACCATTACTTTTATCTCGGGAACGAACCAACAAACTGCAAGTTATGTAGGTCACCTTGTTGACCTAATATGTTACTGCGCCTCTCCCCATTCGAGTCCCCCTTCACTTTGTGCCGTTGGCGATACGTCATAATGTTAGTTATTTTCTTTGAAACTGTTGCTTTACTGACATCGTCGGTTTGGCTAGAACCAACCTCAACTCCTTATATGTAAAAACAAGCCTCTGTGTTTTTCTGCGCCGTTTCATCACCCCAGATGGTATATAATCGTACAAACAACCCAGAAGCCCCCCCAAAACAATAACACCGTGGAGAGTGGGCATGATGCTTCCCAAGAACCCAGATCTCAGATCAGAACCGCATCCCCAGTACTTTGCTTGCCCTTCGTATGCCTTCACCTCCCATGGTAAACCAGCCCGCCCTCAGAACCCCCGGATCCAACAAAAAAAAAAAATAAGGAAAACAAAGGTAATGCGATAAAAGCAATGTCGTTTGTACTCCTATAACCTCTATCCATGTTCCTTCATTCAACAAAGAGTTCGTGCGTAGAGAGGTGCCCAGATAGTATTGTATATGTGCCAATCAGAGAGTTCAGTTTTCACCCTCGTGGCCAGCTGGCCATAGTTCGTCGTCGTGTTATACAAGAAAGAGCTTTCGCGAGTTCGCAGTTTCGTACAAATGGTTGCTTCAACCATGTCCAAGCGAGAATAGACATTAAGGGCTTCCAATCATGCCCATTTCGCATCACAGTCCATTTAACTGTATTCCTAAGCCGTGCCTGAACAAGCCGCATTTTCTTGTAGCGCTTTCGCGTGAGGGCTTCCATACTGCCTCCTCGCACATCTAGATCCTATTAATGCTGCAAACGTTATCCTTTTTGGTGTAGTCGTCATCTTCGGAAGTTGATGATAGCAAGCTTTTCAAAGGTTAGCAAAGTGAAACTAAGCATATAGTATCGTCCCCCGACTCACCCTGCTATTGGAGCCATAGGCCAATTTGTGGCCATCGGCATCCCAGCACAAGCAGTGCTCATCTTCTTCGTCCGTCTCGGCACTAGCCTTGGGACTGAGCCAGCCAGGATGCACCGGTCGACTCCAGCTTGCTCGCGGCACAGCGTAACTTCCAACTTTCCAAATCAAGATCTGAGTTGACGTCGCGCCCGCGATAAATGCACCATCTGGCGTGAAAGCGAGCCTCATAATTGGTGAATCCATGGTCAAGAAGCACTTAGGCTTGCTTTCGGGCATTCGAGCATTCCAAATAAGAATCGCACAATCGTCTCCTCCAGTCGCAATCAAACGCTCGTCATCAGGTCCAGGTTGGTTTTCGGGCAGAGGTTGCCATTGCATCGCAGTAATGGTACCTTGGTGCGCAGAGATAGACCTTCTTTGACCACTCTCATCCCACAGCTACATCAGTCAGCATCTTTGTCCGATATGTTAATCTGGTGTAAATTCTTACGTCAAGTGTGCCCTTGTCGCTGGACGTAGCGGCCAGTCGCGAACGTCCGTCAAAAAGAACCTGGGAAAATAGATCATCGTCCTTGGTCTCAAATTTTCTGGCCTGCACTATCGTTGTCTCTGTACATTGGAGACATATCATTAGGTCGCCACCACATAGCAAGAATTCTGCTTCTCCAGTCCACGCGGCATCGAAAGGGGTAGCATCAATATTGTGGTCCGGGAGGACATATGACAGAGAGTTTCCAGCGGGCGGGTAGTGAACGGTAATAAGAGTACCACCCTTGTCTGGGGAAATGGCTAGTAGAGCTGTATTGTTAGGGTTCCATAACATCTTGATAACTGGAGGCTCTGATAATTCCATTGACTGCAAATGTGCGCCCTCAGCGGACCACACATTGATCGAGGCATGGTTCCTCGAGTCCGTGGCTACTGCGATTGCAGCGCCATCGCTGGTCCACGACATGGCCGTCGTTATGGTATCGCGGGGCACATCACGATCGATAAGGGAGTGGCCTTGGAGTGACACGTGATCTTGGCCCGGTTCGATGGGGCCCGCGCGAGGGACCGTCCAAACACGGGCTAGCGCATCGGTGCCACCAGCCGCGAGGATGGACGGATCTCTTGGGTTCCACTCGCATCGCAGAAGGATGGGAGCATTATCTTGCCCAGAAGGCGAGGAAGGTGATGGCGTAGCGCCTCGGTCTCCTTGAATCTGATTCTGGCCGTCGTATACCAAACGGATAAAGGTCGTCTCTGGAGCCAGCTCCTCGACCTTGTCTACCTGGGTACCCTGTTCAGGGCCGTCAGTCCGCACCATTGGCTCTGGTGCCTGCTCACCCTCGAGAGGCGAAGGATATGCATGGTTATCGGGCTGGTTGTCAATTTCCATAGGTGTCGTTACTGGTGCCGGTGCTGTTGTGGTGGTCTCTGTTCCTGTTGCTGCTGTTGTCGTTGGTGCTGATGCTGGCACCGTTACTGCAGCCAGTACATCGGCGCCATTCTCCAAGCCATTACTTAACCGTTGTCGTTTTGCTGGTGACACATTCGATAATTGCTGAGGGGCTCGTTTTCTTGAAACCTCCTCTTCGATAATTTCCTCTCCTTCCGCGTCTTCCTCTTCGTCTGCCTCAATTCTTCCTTGCGGATGCGCGTCTAGAGGTCCAAAAATGCCCATCTGTAGCGAGTCGGCTGCTTCCGCTGCGGCATCCTGAGGCAGCTGCATATGGTGAATTCTGTCAGTCTCGGACCGTTTTGGAGATTTGGCCTTGCCATAAGTACAGCCCACCTGGCCTTAATGGGTGGGGGGAACAGGCGCAGCGCCGAAACTCTCGTAGATTGCAATGACTCCCAAAAAATTACTTACCAGTTTTCGTAAATGCTCCCGCTCAAGCGCGTGGTAAACAAGGCCGCGATTAATCACTGAAACCAATGCATGGCTCTTGACATGGCGCGCAAAGGCGAATTCCCTGTGAGGTTGCTTGACGTGCCACTCCTTTTGAAATTTGGCAGCAGTTTCTCGATAATCTGTGGGCGAGTGTGGTTAGATTAGCTGTGGCGCTGTGAGCACGCAGAGATAATACATACTGCCTTCAAGAAGAAATCTGTAGGCGAGCAGAAATTCATGGTTAGCAAAAAGGTCCAGAGGAGCAAGAAAGGTGATGGCGAGAAGGTGACTGGCGCGACGATTGCGAGTCGAGGACGCGAAGTAGTGACGAACCTCCAAACAAGAAAGTTGACTCTATCCGAGTCGAGGAATTCCTTAGCGACCATGGTCCAGAGTCCAGAGAGCGCCGCAAAAGGCGCAGAGTCGCTGAAAGGTCGCAGTTGACGATATGAAGCGTAATTTAAGACAGCAGTCAGCAGGCTCCCGGGAAGCCAACCTATTTCCGAGGGAGAAGCTGGATTATTCGATGTTGTTTATGGGGTTTGTCCGAGGAAAGGTAAGTGAAGATGCAAAAGAAAGATGAAATTCAAGGTTCCAGTCGGAGCGGTGATGAGTGGGTACGTACCTCCCTCCTCTACCTCTACCGCCCCTGTACTGTGCTGTGCCTTAGGTCACTCCCGTCCCAGCCCAGCCCGAGATTCAATCAATGCTTCTGCTCTTGTGCAAGGTCCCTACAGGCACAACCAAGCTAGCACAGGATCAGGTCGTTCTGCCTGTAGCTCTCTCCCCGTTTCTGCTAGCCCGAATTAGTTGGGGTGCTGCAAGGATTCTTTGATGCATTGGATGGACTGGAAGGGTACGGATACCTTGTCGAGGTACCCTTAAAACGCCAAGAATAAAGCGACATTGCTGGCGCTGGAGCTACGGGGCCTTTACGGGGAGCTAGGCACCGGGCTGACTGGGGGGAGTTTGCAGGTACAGAACCATCCAATTCGTTCGATCCACGAATAGCCCAAAGACTTTCCAGTGATACAGACCAGGGAGGCTGATAAGCTGAGCAACGGTAAACAGCGTGATCGGATAAGACTGCTCGTGGCATCTGCTCTCGTCAAATAGTGGGATGACGGCCGAAAAGCACATAAACGTTGCAGTGGTACATACTCAGGTATTACCGAGATGCTTTTGGGTGCAAGGGAGCTAACCCACTGAACGGCGGGCTTGAAATGGAACAGGCGCTAGCGAACGCCAGGTCGAAGGATGGAAAAACAGACAGAACTGGACTCTCCAACAAAGTCGTTCTCTTTTTAGAGGAGAAAAACAGTGACACCCATGCCTGGCGCGCTGCTAAAAGTATCGGTACTTTGAAGATGGTGGAGTGGCAACCAATCGATTCACTGAGCAGGGGTTGTGGACCTGCGGATTGTGGACCTTGAATGCCCGGACAAGCAGGGGTTTGCTGAGAGCATTTGAAGGTCCTTGAACCCGTTTGGGCCATGGCGGATATTGATGGTGAAATGTAACCTCCAAGATGATTGATGACTGAAATAACAGCACGCACCCCCTGCCTCGAGCCATGACCGTGCCACATTGAAGACAACGGTAGATATCCCTGGCCCGGTCTGTTCAGTGTGTTGGTAATTCCATCATCGTTAGGTTCATCTTCAACAGAATGGCAAGGTTTCGAAGATCATGCCCCTTGTTGGATGATGACACTCGAGAACGAGGGGCACCCAACAGGTCATGGCCAGGAAAAGATCGCTTCGTCTCTTCCCCTTCGTTCATTTGCTGCCTTTTTCCCTATGAATATATCAGCAAAAAAAAAAAAGTCAGCAAGCAGCTTTGTTATCGCTCGTCATCAATTAGATTACGCCCCTGCCGCTGCGAGTGTGATGGTGTTCCGTCAATGATTCCCCCCCAGTTTGTGCATGAGGCTTCTTAAATCCTTGCCCAATCATATGACGTCGGCTGCCTTAGTCACGGCTAGCCCGCGTTAAATGCCATGCCATGCTTCAGGGCTTGGGCTGATGCATTTCGCCTCTCCTCCCAAAAATCTGAGACGGACGGATGCAGATCGGCCACGACAGGGGTAGGGTCAGGTTCAAGGCTTCAAGACTCGACTTGATCAATGTACCTCTACTTGAACATGTGTGTTTCTGTCCCCCGCCCATCCCTTTCACCCCTGCGGTACTCACTCCAATTCGAGGTCGTAATGTCACAATGGGCTAGAGAATCCGAGTCCAATTTGGCCTCATTGTCTCTGGGCGTGCGATGTCACGATTCGGTACGGAGTAGAGGCAGCTTGTTGCAAATCTCTACCTGGGAAGAACGATGAAGAAATGAAGCAAAACCCCTCAGCGAGATCCGCCACCACCTCCACCACCTCAACTCAACTCAACTCAACTCAACTCAACCTTCCGTCGAACCAGTCGCCAGTCTGGGGAGGCGAATGGATGGTTCAAGACAAGCCCACAACCAACAGGCCCACCAAAAACACCGCCCCGGCATGCCTTGCACGCCGCACGCCTGGCTCCCACAGCTCCGGACGGGCAGATGCCACCACGGACAAGCTGCAAGGATGCCACACCCAATGTCATCCAGTCCATTCTGAGCATCCATCCATCCAACTGTCTCTGCGTGACATGATATGCACAACTCGCTACGCTCACCGATAGCCGCCAGCCAGGCAGAGAGAAAGATAAACGCACTCACTCACAGACTCACTGATCAACTGTCGCAAGGACAAGCAGGGCTACAGGCTGCAGGGCATGTTCACGACTTGGCTTGGTTCCATTGCTTGCTTACCAGGTTGCCGGCGTCATCTCCAAACTGCAGTCATACGCTGTGCAACTGCTCAAAATCCTCGCAACATCTCCTGTAACAGAAACAAGACTGTTGTCAGCGACTGCGCACAGAGAAACACAGTAGAATGTTTGGCCCATCCCGTCTATCGAAAATGGTGCTCTCGCTCGCTCACAGCCCTGTCTGAACTCTCGTCATTACGTGGCAATACTCTAGCTCGTTCAAAGGGGCCGCCAAGCAGCCAGCCCACCATGCCAACCGGGGCCAGCGGCTGCCCATGCCCGGGTCTTTGAACCACCAGCTAAGCAATCGTTTTTTAAAGGATGGTGGTTTCAACTGTTTCGCGAAGGCGACGCGACTTGAACAACCTCATCATCGTCACTCCAGGACACCAAGCTGTGATCTCTTGGATGTACAGCATAACAGCCCCAACTCACTGCCTCAAAAGCACCCACGAATGCACGCCTTGCTTCCACCCACACATGCACAGTAGCTCACAACAAACCTCCGAACTTGGCGGGTACCCGCACCTTTTGACTTCGACAGGGTCCCGTGCTTTTCCTTTCTCCCTCTTCTGTTTTTATCATGTCAATGCACAGACTTGATGATGATTTCTGTGGTTGAGCTCATCACTCGCCCAGGACAGGAGCATCACCACCACCTATATTCATACAACCCTCTATTCCAGAAGATCTCATTAAATCTAAACACGTCAACCATTTCAATGGCTTCTTATCACGTGATTCATCCTGTCGCAAGCCTCCCGTGACATTCCCGAGGTTCTTGACCTTGTGCATCTCCCGTCGGTACTTGGACCCTCCACCAACGCAACATAGCCTGAGCCGTTGATGTATCACAAATCTCCGGCTGCCTATCAACCATGGAGCTCTCAACTTTGGACCCTGTCATCTTTGTTGGTATGTTGAAAATTGAGAATGGCATTCGACTCGAATGTCCTCACCTTGGCAACGAAACAAGACCATAGCAAGATGAAAGATGTGGCTGTCTCTGCTTTGCCCTGCACGACATTCCAGAGTCGGGAGGGCCCCACTGACTCCATTTGATGGATGTTCGAGAGGCACAGGGGAACAGCATCGACAATTTAAACGTTCTTGACCAATCAGATATGAGTTGGGGGAATTAGTCGCGCTGAATGGCACCCGTCATCTTGTTCTTTGCCGAGGCCCCCGAACCTTGACCGAGTTTAGTATCTCCATCTCCCCATTGAACTCTGATTGATACAGGACACAAATTCAGTGATATTTGAGTTCGATGACCATGCATCTAAGCATTGGGAGATATTCCCGGAGGCAAGGGTTATTGAGTTCAGCATGGCCTTGAATATGCAACGCTAAGAGGTGAAACAAATGAAGTTTTCAGCAAAATCTCAATCTCAAACTCTAACCGTGGCTCTATCGCTAAAAGGTGTGGGCACTAGTGGATCAAGGACGTCAATCCTAATGGTCTTCCTTGCTGACCAAGTGTCTCAAATCAACGTATCTCAGCTAATTGTCAATATGTTTAGCTTGTCTTAACAGAGAGAGATTGATAACTTGTTGTAGAGGATGGGATTCGGTCTGGGACTTGCATAACCCGGTGAAGCGATAGAACTGTTTCATATACAGTAGATTTGGGGCAGCAATGTCTTGAACATAGCCGCATCATGATTGTCTCCACAGTCAGATCTTCAAACCTTGAGGTTAGTAGTGAAGATCCCAAAGCGCGTCGAGTCCCATTGATTGAGTTTCTCTAAGGAAGTCAATATATGTAGAGCAATAGTATTTGAACTGTTGATCCCCAAAATAGTTCAAGTATCGCTCAAAACTCTCGGGTCCTACGTAAATGAGGAGAAAGAGGCCTCATCAAAAATTGACTGATCAGGCGCTCATATGCAGGGATTCAAATTGCATGGAGGGATTCCAAGTTGTGGCTGCCTTAGGCTACTCACTGAGCTGTGCGCCACAAGAGGCTGTGGTCCCCTAAAGTGATGAGGCTGGCAACGGCAGGGATAAGTTAGAGAGGACAGTTCAATCTCGTGGCATCAAAGGGGAATTAAGAGAATAAAGACCTTGTAAAGGCCAGCGTCGACAACAAAAGTTCTCGAGTACGACAATAGCTACAGCGCAAAAAGAATTACTACCAATTATCGGATTGTTTGACGAACCACGAGCTAATACTGCCGATATATCGCGCCAACGTCCAACGTCTCCAACCTGTGGTAGCCTCAACGAGTTTGGAATAAGAGCCGATCCGGACCTGAAACCTACATAATCAAATCACGATGCCGCCTCGAATAAATATCCCGCCGGTTACACGCATCCTTCTCATCGCTCTACTAGGCCAGTCCCTCCTCAGCGCTGCCATAAGATATCGGCAATGGACTGCCAACGCCAACATCGTCATTCCCTACTTGACCCTGGTGCCGCAGCTGTCTATTATCTATCCCTGGACGTTCATAACATCAACTTTTGTCGAGAGTAATGTGTTTACGCTCGGTATCGCTGCCGTAACGCTATACCACGGAGGGCGATATCTCGAAAGAGCATGGTCATCGGCTGAGCTGGCCAAGTTTGTCGCTATTGTGTCGCTGGTCCCAAACTTCCTGACACTCTGCATTCTGGTGCTTTGCTTTACGCTCACACGCAATGAGAACTGGACGTACGTATCATGTTCCGTTCATAGTACCATATGGAGAGAAACTGACATAATTATATAGCCTGACTGTCATTGCCGGAACCATTCCCGTTCAAATTGCTTTCCTCGTCGCTTTCAGCCAACTCGTCCCAGCGCATACCGTAACCCTCTTCCGCGGTGTCATATCTCTCCGGGTTCCTCGATTCCCTCTCATCTACATCGGCGCCGTTTTCTTTCTGTCTCTTACGCCCCTCCTTACCAGAGCTGCTCTATGGCTTGCCATTTTTGGATTCCTGACCAGCTGGACCTATCTCCGGTTCTACAAGACTGTGTTCCCTGACCTCGACTCGGCCCAAGACGCCTCCCTCCGCGGTGATGCGAGCGAGACATTTGCGTTTGCCGAGTTCTTCCCTGGCCCAGTGAAGCCATTCGTCGCTGCCATCGCCGATCAGATCTTCCTGGTGATGGTTGCCATGAGATTGTGTACGCCATTCACACCAGCAGACGCCTCTCGAAACGATAGCCGGATCCAACGCACTGCCCCTGGAGGCGCTCGCGCAGAGGCCGAGAGGAGGAGAGCTATTGCTCTCAGGGCGCTAGATCAGAGACTACATGCTGCTACAAGCAATCAGCCTGCTCAGAAGCCAGCGCAGGCAAACCGGCCGACAGGCCCAACAGTGCAAAGCCAGCCTCAGCCGGCTACACAGACTGCCATGACATCGTCACCCGGCCCCATGCTTGGCGAGACCAAGTTCGAGCCTGATCATGACGATGCGAAGAGCTAAACTTTGTCTTCTTTCAAGAGTAACATACGGTCATTGTGATATGGGAGGGTTGTAATGTGCCTTGTACGGTTTAGTTCGAGCCCACGTTGCCGGAGGCAAAGACTAACCGAAAATACAGAGTCGCGAGCAACGTTTTTGATAGATGGAGAGAAGAGTTTGACGTAATGGCATTGCTAGTGGAGCTCCGGTGTTATGATGGTTTTCTGGGCTTTCCTTTGCAGTTTGGTCTGGCCGAATCCTGATTAGGACGTGATGGGATGGACTGGTGTGCATGAGGAATGTTTGGGTTAAGTTACTTAGACATGAATATTAAGATAAGAGTATAATGATCGTCTATCATTCCGTGGAATTGAAAACTCAAGTCTCATTCTTGTTTATCGATACTTATACTGTAATCGGATGCATATTGAATCAATCCAGTCAACTCCTATGGAAGTAGCCATCATGCAGGGTAGGTTGTAGATCTAGGTACCCGGCATTTGCTGACCAATGAGGTTGGTGCAATTTACATGCGGTCCTCCTTGGAGTTTGATAACCAAGTCAATCATGAATTCACATGTCTTGTCCTCTTGAGCTATATTCACTGACTAGGACTTAATAGATACATGACTGTAGCCACCTTTCATTCAATTGACTGATCTATCCTTGTCTTACCTCATCAAAAACCGCACGAGCTCTCCCTCTAGTTCCGGCCAAAGGCAACTTAACTCATCATGGGCTGGCCATATGAGTTCCTCACTCTAACAGACGAGGAAAAGCATCAACGCCGTCTGAGCCTCGACTACTACGCATATATAGCACATATTTCTGCCTTCGCGCCAGCGCTATTATTCCTCGTCGTTCGACTCATCAATCGTGTGCGCAAGGGCCGTAACAGCGGGTATCATCAAGTTCCAGGTTCACCAGGCGTCAAAGCGAATCGACAGCGATGGATCTCTAGAGCTCTGGAGAAAGGACCCATGGTGCAGTGGTGGCTAGGTGAAGACGTCGTATCCATGGGAAGCCATTGGGGGCAGCGTGATGAATGGGTTTTGGGTATTGCTTGGACAGTGTGGTTGTTAGTCTTAAGCGTTCATGGTACAGGAAAAGGTAATGTTAATTTCACCTCTGATTCATATGAGCATGTTACTGACAATACAGATTATCTTCATCTCACAAAGCGAGTGGGCATTGTTGCAACATCTCAGATGCCTATTCAGTATCTCCTCGCTCTCAAAGCGCTCAACCCCTACGCATATCTGCTTCGCTCATCTCACGAACATCTCAACCGATACCATCGCGTTCTTGGTCGCATTATCTACTCCCTTCTCATACTTCACGCTATCCTATACAACATCTTCTTTATAGAGTCTGGGATATGGTTCAAGCGCTTCTTTGCCCCGGTTGTATCTGCAGGTGTTGCTGGTTTCATCGTTCTCCATGTGCTCAACGGTACAGCAATGACACGTGTTCGCCAAGCTTCTTACCGACTCTTCTTCATCGTTCACCTCTTTGGAGCCTTTGCGGTTCCGCCCTTGATTTACTACCATGCACCGTCCTCGCGGTTCTATATCGCGGAGGCTCTCGGTGTCTTCGTTCTTGACCTTGCCGCACGAAAGATCACCACCATCACAGCTCCCGCTGTCATCGAAGCTATACCTGGCACAAGTCTCGTCAAAGTCTCTGCCAAGCTCCCAGCTCCAAAGATTGCAAAGTACACGGCTCGTCCGGGATCGCATATCTACCTCAATGTCCCTGCAGCTTCGCGACCAGGAATTGGGCAATTTTCTGCCCCCTATCTTGTCTTTGAGTTTCTTTATAACCCCTTCACTGTGGTATCTACCAACCAGGAGACGGGTGAGTTGACATTTGTCGCACGCACACGAAATGGCCCCATGACGAACCGTCTACACCATCTATCTTCGACTGCCAACGCTGGTGGGTCGGCTGAGAAGGTAGAACTTAATATTGAGGGCCCTTATGGTGCCATAGGAAAGTCGTTCAACGATCTTATCACTTCAGGTACCAACCGTATACTCATCGTGGCGGGTGGTGTGGGAGCAACCTTTGCTGTACCGCTCTACCACGCCATTCTAGCCGAGAACTCGTCCACAAACGTCCAGCTCGTTTGGGCCATTCGAAGTGCAGGCGACGCAACCTGGGCCGCGTCAACTCCCACCGGGAAATCTCTTCTGGACGATGATCAAGTGCAGCTCTTCCTCACGGGAGACATGAGTGTCGCCAATGACAGCGACAACGCAGCTGGCGTTGAAATGAACGTCTTATCTCAACAGAGCACTCGTCCTGCAGTTCGAAACAACAAAAGACCTGATCTACAGAAAATCGTTGACGATACGTTCCAGAAGGGTCAGCAGGATAGTGTGGCTATCCTGGTCTGCGGTCCTGTTGAGATGAGCCGAGAGCTACGCAAGAGTGTGACACCGTGGGTGATGAAGGGACGCAAAGTTTGGTGGCACAATGAGAGTTTTGGATGGTAGACGGAAAGACAATGGTATAACTAGCGCCATGACTGTTCCTTTCCAGCCTGATGTATGTTGGTTGAGAGAGATTAGTTAGCAAATAGAGTACAGAAAACCTTGGTTATAAGCCCTGTAAAATCCCGCAACTTCCACAGGCTAATTTAAGTCGTTGCGTTTTACTAGAGGTAGTCGCTGTGCAACTCCTGGGTCGTCTCGACGGTCGTTAGTCCATGAGCATTGTGGCGTGTAGTAAACTGTAGAGATGGTTAGGCCTTATAAAGAAAACGTTCTACCACTTGGCCCTGATTCAAGAGGTCAGTTATGCTCCCACGAACCTGGCATCTCGCAGGGAAAACTCGAAAAAAGAATATGTAGCCGCTCCAATGGTGAGAGCACTATGAATATCTAAAGACCACGTCGGGTATCTTGGGTTCAAAACACCAGCCAATACCTCATCCCAAATCAATTCGGCATGGAATGCACACCAATACAGCACCGCCGTCATCATAGGCTATACTATCATATTCTATGCTTGCGCGAGGTGCATTCTTCTCCTTGCTAAACCGTCGTAATAGCCATCAAGAGCCTCATCCACCGACGCCTCACCCATCTTCCAACCTTCACTAATAACGCACCACGCTCCGTTATCTAACCCTAAGTAGGTAGGGATGCCGTTAAGACGGCATGAAATCTAAAGTATGAATAAACAATAAGAACAAAAAAAAAATCAGAAATTCCAACGTCTAAAAGAAACCGTGACCTTGATTGGTATCATAAGAGGGTGTCGTTAGCCACAACTAAAGTCTCATCTTCATCGAGAGCTCGCAGATTGTCGTTCAGTCTCACTGCCGGTATCTAGCCAGCTGTGCCATGATATTCTGAACTTGAACCGCTGCATCCCCACTCGATGGTGGCTGTGGCCCATGTCCGTAGGAAGCTCCATATGGGCCTGAAGGGTGCTGCTGCTGCTGAGGTTGCTGGGCCGCACGATTCCCACCCAGACTTCCAAGCAGTGCTTGGATGTCAGGTTGAGATGCTCCAGCGGCAGCTGTATTTGTGCCACCTTGAGCAGAGGCTGGGTTTTGGACACCCCCTTGAACTTGTGCCAGCAATTGCTGGAGTGACGCAGGGTCGAGCTGACCCATCATGTTCGCAATGTCAGCGACGTTGACTGGGGGAGGCTGCTGTTGACCGTATTGTGCGGGAGGGGGAGGGCCAGGGTAGCTGGCCGTAGGCGCTTGATACGGGGGCTGGCCTCCGTAAGGAGCACTACTATAGCCATTTCCTCGGTATGTTTGGCCATAGTTAGGAGGGCCTCCTGATGCCTTGGCCTGAAGAATAACCTTGGCTGCAGTAGCGGGGTCCAGGTTTTCGTACTGATCATATCGAACATTGTTGGAGCCAGCGGAGCGATCGAAGGCCTGTACCGGAATCTTGCCTGAGCTTTGCGCTCGAATATCGAGATCAACGACAGCATGGACACCTTCAGCCGCTTGCCGTTGAACTACCATGTCCTTGGGGATCCTAGGATGCAGGAACATAACCTCGGACCTAAGACCTTGGGACTTGAAAGCTTGCTCCACCCAGTTGACAAAGTCGCGATTGACATCTGGCTGAAGGATGACCTGTACGTCAGGGACGTCAGCACCATACCTCCGTGGGAGATCAAGCTCAGCCTCATGCCGAGGTCGCCCATAAGGGCTCGGACTTCTTCGTCGATAATTGTTGTCCTTGCCGTTGCGACCGTATCCGGGGGACCGAGATCGTCCACGTCCCCTACTGTTGTCATAAAAACCTCGATCTCGACCATACGACTCATCTCTTCCGTAGTCGTTGCGATGAGGAGATTGACCACGACTTGATCGATATTCATCACGGCTTGGGTGACCGTGCCGTTCATTCCGGCGTCCATTGTCGCGGCTTTTGTTCCTATCCGGGCTGCGAGTCTTGTCCTTTTTCGATTTGTCCTGAGCACGCGATACTTCTAGGTCTTGATGTTGTTAGAGGCACAGTATGGAAAGATCGACAAGCACTACTCACGAATTCTGCGACCCTTGATCTCGATACCTTGCAGATTTTCCATCGCACGCTGTCCTTCCTCGATAGAATGGTACTGGACGAAGCCGTACGCAGATTTGAGTGAGATTTGAGCAATCCTTCCGAACCGATGGAATAGATCGAAGACATCCTGTTTCGACACCTTGTCGCTCGAGAGATTACCTGTAGCGAATATGTGAGCGCCGTTTTTGGACGCGCCGGACGCGGATCGTGTACCAATAAAAATGCGTGAGCCCTCTGGGAAACGGTCCCATTTGGCCTCAGCTATATACTGGTTCTCGTCGGCTAAGAATTGATTCCACTGGCGCTCATATTCGGAATCTTGAGCTTGATCAGTATTATAGAGAGCAGGTTTAGGCGGGTATGGAGGGGCGTTCATAGAAGTGATGACAATAGGCGCCTGGAGACCGGAGCCAAGAGGAACCGAAAATTCACCCAGAGCATCAGGGACTGCAACAGGCGCGCCAGTTGCCACATAAGTGGATGGCTGCCCGGGCGTGGGGGGCGCAGCTAGGTTCGAGGGAATACTGGCATTGATGCTAGGTGGGTGGTACTGCGAGGCATACGTCTGAGGAACTGCCTGTGATAGCGGAGGCCTCGGTGGAAGAGAAGCTGACGATGAGAAGGCTGAAGACGGAATAGTAGACTCGAGGGAATGTTCACCTAGGGCGGAAGAAGCAAAATGTGTGTTGGGGTTGGATGGTGCTGTGAGATCAGCGACCAGGCGTTGAATATCAGCTGAAGGACTGGCAGAGCTGGCAGCGTTACTGGCGCCCGGCTTGGCCGTGCTTGGAGACGACGTTTGCTGGTTGGATGGCTGCGACGGGAAGGTATTTGCGACGCCAGCAGCTTGAGCTTCGGAGGAAGCATTGGAAGTAGTTGATGTCGCAGGTTGGCCTGGCTGGGCCGACAAGGATGATTCATGAAGGACATGGGAGACTTGAGATGTGCGACTTGTCAAATGATCGGATGAAAGAGAAATTTCGTTGGATTCTCGTGGTAGCGATGATACATCTTGTGGTTCGACGACTCCGTCTTCACCCTCCTCCGGCCCAATTGGTGAATCAAAAGTCTTTGCGTAATCGTCATTGCTGTCGGGAAGTTCTTGTTCAAGCTGAGGCTGCGGCACTTGCTGGGCGGCCACGTCTGTGTCGTCTTCACCATAAGGGTCGTTGAGGCTGTCGTCATCTACGATATCGTCATCACCACCGGCCCCTGATATGGGCTCAAGATTAGGGGCCTTGTTGATAGAGCCATTGGAGTCGGCAGCAACCATGGCGTCGATGGTGTCAACGGTCTCTTGAAGCACAGGGACCGCCAGAGAGGTGGCTGAATGAACAGGTGATGGGGAGACAGGGGAGAGGTTGGCAGTCGCCTGAAGTTCTGCCTCGGGTTCTGTCATTTAATTAAGGCTGGGATTGGAGGTTGGTGTGCAGTATATGAGACGACCCTCTGAAGCAGCGCTGGTCGTACAAACAACGCGAACCAAGCGATGGTGCAACTGAAGATCAAACAGATGAGCTCGGCTCCTTGGTTAGTGAGAAGTGCTGCCAGGCGATGGCCTGGCGCAAGACGGAAAATGGAAGCGTGATGGAATAGATGAAGTGGCGGTCAAAGCGCTTTCAGACGAAACACGAAAAGGTTGACTTGTAGACCAAATGGACGCGCGATGAAAAGCCACAACAGATTCGGCACTCTCACCAGATGGTCACCAGGAAGACAGACGACTCGACCAGCTTTTTGACAGGGGAGGCAGTCGGGTAGAGGGTTATGCGACGTCGGAGCTTGGCTAATCGCGCCAAATGAGTTGAGTTCTCCAGAAGACTGGGGCTCGGGCACAGGCACGTGAGAGCAAAGGAAGATGGACTAAAGAGAGAATCTAGGTAGTCGCGACACCAAGAGCATTGAAGATGGCGGTACGAGCTAAGTCGATGATGTGTCGCAGGTTGAGGGAAATGAGCAGATGAAGGTTGAAAAGGTGAGGTAGGTCAATTAGGTTAGGTAAGTGAGGTAAGGTAAGGCAGGCCTGGCAGGGCAAGTCAGAGGTGAAAGGCCCCATGGGTTTCGGGGTCCTAATTGAGGCTGATCGGGCGCAGGCGTGAACCGCAGCTAACAGCAAACTAGTCCAGAATTGGCAAGGCGGTCAGCAGGTCATTTGTGTTTGGCTCACATCCAAGATCTCAGCCACAGACAAGCATCAGGCGAAGGCCAAGAGTTTGAAGACCCCAACTTCAAGTGATATATGAGACATTGAGCTCAGAAGATTTGACAAACAAAAATGTTCTTTATTGCTGGCTATTCCATGTAACACACAGATCAGTCAATTGTTATACTTCACCATGCTTCAGCGACAATTTGCCCTGGCGCCTTGTCTGCGAATCGTTCCGGCATATCTGACAACTCCTCCATTTGCGCCTCGGTTCAAGAGATATCAGGCTTTCGACACTGGGTTAGATCAAGAAGCTCTTTCTGAAGCTCGCTCGTGGTTTCAATCTTTCAACCCAACCCAACTACCGAAAGGAAATACTACATACGCCCGCTCGAATGGACCAGGGGGCCAACATGTCAATAAGTATGCACGTAATTACATTCAAGCAAGTCTTTAGCACTCACAGGTGAAAGGACTGAAACAAAAGCAATCACAGCATATCCAGTGGGACAATTGCTGTCAGTACTCCCCAAATCCTTACATCCCGGCATTCGCAAGTCCAGATACTACACAGCAACCAATGACTCTTTGACTTTTCAAGCGCAAGATTCACGGTCACGGGATGCGAATGCGGAAGACAACAGAAGAAAGCTTGTTGGGGAGGTAACAAGTATCTACAAAGATGCGATACCTGCTGAGACAAGCGCAGAAAAGAAGAAGAAACACGAGGAGATGTTAGTTGATATCTTAATTGAAAACCATCGCTAACGTCAAATAGTGGCAAAAGATTCCATGAGACGAGGATAAAACAAAAGAAGTTTACAAGCGCAAAGAAACAATCACGGAGAGGCCCTTCTGATTGAGCAAACAAATGGTTGAATAAAGCAAGATTAAGTCAGCAGTATTAATTTGATGGCCATATAAAAATATATATACTTTACGCAAAAAGGTATATATAACTGAGTACGGACCTCGATACAACCTCTGAATACTCATTCGAAAGAAACCTAATGCTTTTATGGATGTTACAGAGTAGTACTAAAGTTTCAATAGTGAAAGCCAAAATTGTCCGCACAAATTAAAAGAAAGGAATCTGTCACTATTTGACTTAGAAAGCAAACAATTGCGGTAGATGGTCCAAGGTTCCTCAGCAGGTGACTACTGCGCTTCGGTATCAGCAGAATGAATGAAATGAGACCGGACAAAAACAGAGCATGACTTATTGATTCCATCAGCATGATTTTCCTCAGGGAATATGAAGCCCGAGTATGATGCGTTCAAGGGCGAAATATCGTCATTGTCACTCCGCGCCATTGATAGGTAAGGATCATCATTAACTGTTATACCTCCTTTTATGCATTGGTAGGTGAATGTAAGGCATGCCACCACTGAATAGGGATACGGATAGACATTTGATGGCCAGTTTGAAGTCTGCCTGGCATTCACAATCATAATCAGGGTCGGGCACCAATTCTTCTCGTATTAAGGGTCCAAAACTAAAACGCCTTGAGCATTATTGTCTATTGTCATTATCTTACCCATATTTCAGCTAGACTTTATCTGACACGACCCCACCTCTTAGGCCCGACCCTTCTGACCAACCCAACCAAACCCCTTCTTCACTTCAGCCCATCAGCATCGCCATCTCGACCGCTGATATCTACTCTCTTCACCTGAGTTGCTCTCGATTCCTGTGTTTCTCCCTTCAACAATAGGCATCCGATCCTCTGAACCAGACAATCCTATCATATCTCATACTTCATCGCGACACCGCGCGACAGTCACCCCCTCTGTTCGCATCTGAACGCTCTGCGGGGCATCGCGATCTTCTTATCAACTCTCTGCTCCGACATCTCCCCCAGCTTCAACGTCACAGTCTTGCAATGGACTCTGCAGCTCGCCAACAACCTCAAGTCCAGCCTTGTAGATACAAGGTTGGCAAGACACTGGGAGCTGGCTCATACTCCGTCGTCAAAGAATGTGTACACATAGACACTGGTCGTTACTATGCTGCCAAGGTCATCAATAAGCGGCTCATGGCTGGTCGCGAACACATGGTGCGAATTACTCTATTGTCCCCTGAAATTACAGGAACATTCCTCTACTCCGTTGTACTTTTCTGATACGTTATGCGCAATGATAGGTTCGCAACGAAATCGCCGTCCTTAAGAAGGTCTCCATGGGCCATCAAAACATCCTTACTCTTGTCGACTACTTCGAGACCATGAACAATCTCTACCTCGTCACCGATCTTGCACTAGGCGGTGAGCTTTTCGATCGAATTTGCCGAAAGGGCTCCTATTTTGAGTCAGACGCCGCCGACTTGGTTCGCGCTACACTGTCAGCTGTCGCTTACCTGCATGACCACGGTATCGTCCATCGCGACTTGAAGCCTGAAAATCTACTCTTCCGAACCCCCGAGGACAACGCAGACTTGCTCATTGCAGACTTTGGACTTTCTCGAATTATGGATGAGGAACAGTTCCACGTTCTGACTACGACCTGTGGTACTCCTGGATACATGGCTCCCGAAATCTTCAAGAAGACAGGCCATGGCAAGCCTGTAGATCTCTGGGCACTCGGCGTCATCACTTACTTCCTACTTTGCGGTTATACTCCTTTCGACCGCGACTCTGACTTCGAAGAGATGCAGGCCATCCTCAACGCAGATTATAGCTTCACCCCTATTGAATACTGGCGCGGCGTTTCCAGCCATGCTAAGGACTTTATCCAACGCTGCTTGACTATCGATTCTACTAAGCGTATCACTGCCCATGAGGCTCTCCAGCATCCATTCGTTGCTGGCTTTATCAATGCGGAGGGCGAGAGCCAGAACCTTCTGCCTAACATCAAGAAGAACTTCAACGCTCGCCGAACTCTACATGCAGCCATTGATACTGTTCGTGCTATCAATAAGCTGCGTGAGGCTCAAAATGGGATGATGGATGGGGCTCGCTCAAAGGAACCCAGCCGCGGCGCTGCGCGACAGCAGCCCCAACAGCCGCCTACCAACAAGAAAGGAGATAGTGCCATCTCAATGGGTAGCAACCAACCTAAGGATAGTGGATATGGAACTCAGACAGAGACGGACGTGGTTATGGGCAACACATCAACATCCAACGTCCCATCCTCATTGCAGCCTGGAAACAACGGAAATAGAGTCATCGAGACATCCAAGGGACTTTGGAGTGCGCCTGCGTCGAAGAGGTAGAGCCAGAATGGGGGCGATGTGTCTGAGTTATTCTGAGATCTGCGGAGTTGATATATCAGAGGGAAGCTATGGTGAGACGAATACGTGTTAGAAGAATGATGGTTGAACGTGATGAGGAGGAAATTCTGCAAACCCGCATTGGCGTTATGAAGCGGGCGAAGAACAAGGACGATGTGCTGGCATATGCGCATGTGCAACAAGGAGAGCGAGGACCAACAGCGATTTGGGTACATGTATTTTCAAGAACGGACCGCAGGCACGCCGTTGCAGCGACAGGGAGGAAGAATCGGTTTATCCTATTTTCTTTACATTTCCCTTTGTGTTTCAAGTATGATCTTAGTATTTGCAACGCCCTTTGTGAGGTCTCGTTTTCGAGATGCTTTGTTAGAGATACCAGTGACTTCGAGGCTCAGGTCAGAAATAAAGCACAAGGTTCGCACCGAATAAGGGCTCAATCGGTTTGTAGTTTATTGCCTCCTCTGCTCGTTATCACTGCTCGTGTTATTTGCCTGTAGTTGTGTTTCTGACTGATGGATCGCTACGGCTCGTGTGGACTCATATGTAAACTCTTTTAATCCCCTCAATCTTGAGTACATACCCTGAGTGACTCTCGCGTGTGGATATGATCAGGTATCAGACAGAGTAGGGCTATATGATAACTTGTGACCTGAACCATTTGTCATATGCCAGAGTGTCTTGTCACTGATAATATGTGGAGGAGCGCCTTTACCACGTACCCTTATCCAAGGGCATAAGTGAAGTAGTTCGAGGCTGAAAACCGTCCCCTGGGAATTTGAACAGAGATCGAGAGTTTCAAATCACATGTTTGTACAACTTAAACTACAGATATTTGCGTTCAACCTACAACACCAGAACAACATATTGACACTGAGACTTCCGGTATCATGACAAAGCGAATTTAAGACGCAGCGCTTGTGAATGCCAAGAGTCTTAGGAGTGCCGTGCAGGCTTGGCGTTTATAATGCCGCTGGACAGAAGTCGGAGGAAGTTCTTGGGCTAGATGAAGATCGGCATGTTGAGATTTCGATATCATGAACGGGTCCACCTGATCGCGTGCCAACTACAACTCTGTATAAACAAAAAACAGTGAACAAAACCTTGACAGCCAAGGTCGAGCTGGATATTGGTATATAGCGAGTAGGATGAAGATTTACAAGAACTTTCACGTTGAGGAGACAGGGTGTGACAGAGACAATATGCTGTCAATTCTTCTAACTGCTAATATCTAGCGAATGGTATCTTTGGTATTCCTTTTCCTTTCCACCAAAGTCAGCCCACCTCCTTGCGCCTCCTGGCTTTTGCTCTCCAGGATCATCCAGGATTCGGCTATGAGCCAATTGTCCTTCATCTCTCCTCCTCATCATGAGTAGGGGGGCTTATCACAAAGCATGTCCCTCTCGAGTCGTCGTCCAGGCTCTCTAGCGAGCGTATCGGTGCATGACATGACGTCGTCTCATGTCCATGCACGAATTAAACTTCCTCTGGTTGTATACATTACTCTATTCAGTTTCGGTTTTGTCCTTCCGCAGGGTATACATTAGAACGGGACACATTAGCCCCTTGAACCCATTATTACAGTTTCCCGTCTGGCCCTGACGGCCCTGCGTCAGAATCCAGCATCTGCCGTAGTAAAGCACCGTGTTGCGCCATTTCGCTGTGCCGATGAATGCCAAAGATGTTATCAAAAAAGTATAAGGTCGAAGATTAAAAAGGGTTCGGGGCATTAAAATCGTAAAATCCCAACATTCGCTTCGTTTCCCCGGTGTGGGATGAGTTTCCGGGGGTAGTGTTATTACTCAGTCGTGCCGATTACCGCACCACCACAACTTCACTCAACTCCACATCTCGAGCGGGAGCGTGGCCGTCCCAGAGCTGTCCGTTGTTGTCCATATCCATAAGCATTCCGGGAAGGGCTTCCTCGGATAGAGTTGGGCTTAGGGTTCCGCTACTGGAGCTGCAGCTAGAGCTGGCAACAGTCCAGCCATCGCTAGAGTCGGCGCGAGGACGTCCAAGCAGACCCATACCAAAGTACTCGCCATACTCCTCGTCAGAAATGGCGTTACGGTCGCCATACTCCACGTACTCGTATTCCCATCGCGTAATCTTTCCCTCCTGTCGTCGGGGCAACCATCGGGCCTTTGCTGCGTAGAAAAAGCAAGACGCAATCAAGCCACCGACCACCAGATCAATTGCATAATGGTGGCTGAGGTACATGGTGGCCCAGCAGACCCACCCAGCGTACATGATGAAGTAAGTTCGGAATTGGGGGAAGCAGTGAGACATGAAAAGAGCCTCGAGCACGGCGTTCGCGGCGTGGAGCGAGGGGAAAGCACCGAAGGGGACAGGCGCTGTGCTGAAATTAGTTGTGTAGAGGTCGATACCGAAAATGGCGTCGATACGAGCGAGTCCAGCAGGAGACCCAGGCATGCCGTAGGCAGCAGGTTCAAGACCATGCTCCATCTCGTACCAAGGTGGCGCACAGGGGAAGAGAAGCTGAATGGTGACACCTAAAATGCTCATCCAACCGAAGGTGCGAGCCCAGACAGGGGCCGTGCCAGGGGCAGCAAAGACGAACATGAGCAGGGCGCAGACTACAGGAGCACCAAAATGGCACAAGCCGTAGGGAATCCAGGCAAGAATATCGAGGACCGAGTGTTGGTGGGCGGAGAGAATGCTCGACAGATTGGCACCGTACAAGACGTTCTCGAGGGCGGGTAGCACGCGGACCCAAATATGAGGCCGGTACTCATTGGGGATAAATCTGAAAAATGTTAGCAGGCGAAAATTTTGACCTCTGAAGTCAACACATACCGACTACAAAAGAAATACAAGAGCCAGGTCCAGATTGTCACTGATGGCAAGAAGAATTGACGGGTGGCAGGCATAAGCAGAACCCAGACGCTGCCAATGATAGCTAGGAGCTTGACACCAGGAGCCGGGGGAGCAATCCAGAAGGAAAAGAGAATTAGGAGACCAACGACCGCATATTGGAGATCTGACGTCCTCCAATGATGCTTCTGAAGATCACGAACACCATCCCAGGCGTTGAAAGAGGTTTTGAGACTGGTGATCTCCTCATTGCCAGGTCTGGATTTTGATTTGGTGCGTCGGCGGCCAATTCGATATCTGTGAGGAACAGTGTTGAGGAATGGCAGATTAACATGTTCAGGCCAAAGAAGCTGAAGCTTGGGCTTCCCTGAAAGGGTGGCGGAGAAATCATTCATGGTGAAGGTCGAGAAAGTTGTTTGGATCGACAGAACGGTGACTCGAAAGGGGGCGTGTTGATTATTTGTAGCGTATCGCAAGATAATTTTCGAAGAAATTCGTAACGCGTAGTCGGTAACCCAATATGAATACCCAAAAACTACCTCATATCCAAGTTGACCTATTTACTTGACTTGCACGCATACCACGATGGTCGGAATCGTCGGGATGGCCGTCTAGAGCGATGGTTGTCGAGTCGCAGAGAAGGGAGGCAGCACGCGACAGGGACGCCACACAAAGAAAATGTGAGGCTAGAACCTGAAGTCGTGACGGAGGAAGATAAATGCTTTAACAAGGTGCGAATCTAAGACGAAGCTAAGCCGAGGATCGAAGAGAGAGAGAAAGGGAGGGAAGAAGAAGATGGAGGTGAGGAAATGGGAGTAGTAATATGAAGAAAGTGGAGGGAGTGGAGGAGAGAGGGATCGAGTATGATGACGAGGTGCAGGAAAGTGATGCACCAGGGGCGTGTACCAGAGCAGCTGGCCACTAGAAGCGCTGAAAAATCAAGGTCTTTACAGCTGATTTTGCAACCGCAGTCCGCTAAAGAGCACAAATTCAACAGGGCGCGTCGCGCAGGATTCCAGTGGGCGCTAAGCTACTGTCCCCATCACACTCCACTGACATTAGCTTCATTCAAGGGGGCCCGCACCGCAGGATTTTCCTCGTCCTCATCTCAAATGAGTCCGGATGCTGCGGGAGGAGTTATGGATACAAGGGTTTGGGGTACCGGCCAGTCAACAAGCCTCAGCGGGGCGTTGTGCATGGATGGCACCAGGGTCGCCTGGAGATTGCACTGGAGCCAGCGCCTAAGCCTAATCAGCTCTGCTCTGACGCTGAGACGGAGCTCTTTTGTCACTGTGAAGCCAATCAATCAAGCCGATAAAAACAAAGTTGCTGACATAGCACACTGGCCGGACATCGCGGAGGAACGGGGGTTTGCGGCAACCCGAATCAAGGCGTATTACCGTAATTTCCTTCGAAGCCGCTGCCAAGCCTGATAGGCGGGCTGAGTCGCGTGAGAATTGCCCTGTCAAATAACGCTTACTTGCTTTCCGCGTATTGTATCGCCAAAACTTTACCGACCACGTTTTAAACTGAGGGGGAGATGAGATTACCTACTACCAGTCCAGACAAGCCTACAAGGTCGACGTGGCAGTCTTGGAACTGAGCCTCGATGAATAAAGTGAAATGAGCCGCAGAGCATCTCCTTGACCTGTCAGTCATTTGATATGGCCACTCACAATGCAGGAACGGGAGGCAGCCCATGGTGATCCAGAAAGCACTGCACGTAGTACATCATTTCAGCTTTGGCATAGCTGCTGGGCAACGATTGACTGAGAACGTTAATGGCCGGCACCTTGCCAACGCAAGCGAACAAGTCTTCCAGACAAGTCCACATTGTTTGAAGTCCAATGAATTTCCCGTTCAAACTAACTGAGCACCCTTTCAGTCGGCGTCGGAGGCTCGCCAAGCTCCATGGACTCCGAGGTTCCGACTCCGACTTTATCACATCACCATCTGGAACGAATGAGATTGGAAGGGTGATCTACCGACGTGGATGCACACACACAGCCAGCACGACTCTTTTCGCTTTCTGACCTCAGCGAGACCCATGATCCCATGTGCTAGAATGCACTGCACTGCGCTGACGACAAGACAAGACGAAACGAGACAAGAACAATCCAAGTTCATGACGAGTCTTTGAGTGGCTTGATCAATACAAAGACCCACTCCTTCATTGCATCTTTGTTTTCTGTCATTGATCAGGGTCCGTGGTCAATGATGGTGGCTGATTCTTAAGAAAACGTCACCATCAGAAACGGTTCCCAGACGGTGTCACTTGGCTTCATACACAGCCTAGGCATTCTGACTGAACGGAGAGACTCTTTGTTCTGATCGCAGCGTCATGACTGTGGCACAGTGACATGCGCCTGGAAGACTGCCTAGATTCGATTATGGGGACAGGCTAAACCAATCAGACCTGAACGGGAGTCTAGGTTGGCGAGTCCGCGTGCTCAGCAACCAGCCGCGGTTGTAGGTTGTAAGATATGATTATGACGATCACTGGCTCAATCTAACGTGACATTTAACTGTTGATTTGTTAAATTGAACAGCTCATGTCCATGTGTTGGCAGTAACATAAGGTACGTACAAGGTTGCAATTAAGCGTCGAGAAAGCCTGTGTGCTGCTTGCAGTCGAAACATGGAAGCGACCCAGGGATATCCTCAAGGGGACGCTTCCGCTGAGGTCATAATCAATTTGCGCACGCGAGGAAACTTCCTGCAGCTCATACTCGCCTGGGTCTTGTTGCGAGCTTTGTCATTCATGCACCGGCTCCTCAGCCAAGGGAATAAAGCTTTGATTGTTTGCAAACCCCTTAATAAACAAAAGCTAGCCCAATATATCGATAATCAATCAGCGAGTTGAGCAAAAAACGATGCTCCTTTCTGAAAAATACGTTGCACAAGAGCCCCACGGCAAAGTTTCACAGGCCGCAAACCGAGATGGATGATGAACAACGAACCATTGAGAAGTGATATCAAAGACAAGGATCAGCTCTTTCTTTTGACGCTAACAAGGAGCTGGGGCCACTGCATCTTTTTTCGTCGCATTCAAAGGCAGGAAGCGAAAAAAATGATGTGCGTTCAGCAGGTACTCGCGACCGATGTACCTTCTCCAATTCCGCTGCTTCCTCCATGGAAGATGCTTACCATCCGTGGCTGTCCGTCGAGGCTTTCCATGCAGCCAGGCGCCAGGAAGGAATAATCCAGCCCATGCTTACTCACACCTGTCTTTCATTAACAACCTTGAGCTGTTGCCTTCAAGCTCAAAGTTCCTCATGTTGTGATACAAGTATCATGTTAACACAGATTACGCTGAAAGACACGGATACCTTTACTGTTTCAGATGATCAACGTTGCAAGTCTGAATGCTAATAACATTCGAGCTGCGGCAACGGCGTGCTCTAACTCATGTTAGCGTTAAGCCATTAACTATCGCCAACCTCTGGACTGTCAGCACAAGATATGTTGCTGTGTAGTTGCCAGAGTCATCCAAGCAGCCAATTGATATTACTTGTCGGTCCAAAAGACCTGACTTCATTCCGAAATGAAATAGCCATCCATACTCGTGATTTAGTTGTTCGACAGCTTCCGATTACCAACTTTAGACTCAGCCCTGCTGATGATGAGACTCTTGATGGCTCTCCGTGTAACGGTTCAAGTGTTCACAACTTCAGGCGCTCCAAGTTCAAGGGTCAGCTTCAGAAACCTAGTCCATTTCATAGGACATAGGCGCGCGCAGCCCATCCCGTCACTCGGGAGACATACACACGACAAGGGTTATAGTAACCCCACGAAACACCTACACTTTTCCCTTGTCATCTTGCTGCATCTCGACGTTTACTCGGATGTAGCGGAAGATGGGTTCTCGTTGAGGGTTTACACAAAGGAAACCGTTTGTGGCCATTGAGCGAATCAATAATCAATTAGACCAATTTAGCGCGGCAAGCCTCATCGTCATGAGACGGTGACGTCCTGCTAGAGAAGGGGAAATAAGTTATTAACTAAACTCAAGAGTTTATTCGCTCCGACTCCGACGCGGAGTTTTCGATGTGCCGTGCAACACTGAGGGGGGAAAAATCCAATGGAGGCTCTTAACGGTCGCTCGGGTCTTATTTGTCCATGCGTGAGGCGCGCGCCCCGAGGTGAGACGAGGCGCGAGGCCATAATGCAAGGAAATTGAACGTGGATAGCGTGGATCCTCCATTCGGGACGGAAGAGAATAAGCAGAGCGAGCAGTGGAGGCTCTGGGTCTGAGAGAGATTGGGAGGGTCTCGACGAACAGGGATACGAAACTCATCCAGTCCCTTGGATAGAACGGGTTGATTGGTGTCTTGTCGCAGCGCATGATCTTACTGATAAACAACCTGATCAGTATATATTTGCCATTGCCTTGCAATCTCTTTAACACGTTGTTGATTCAGCCGCCCGTGCACGGATTCAACTTGATTGAAACACCCATACCGCAGCTGCAAAAGCCAAGGTCGAATTGAGGCGGACTGGCCCAAGTTCAGGAGATCGTCAAGGGTCCCCTATGCGCACGAGACACCACTTGCGATACGCTAGTCAATTGAAAATGGGATGGGATGGATTAGGTAGTTTCAACTTTCAACCCAATCTCGAAGGTAGTTCTAAGTTTCTTGGATATCATGCTTAATATTGCAGACGAATATGTTAATCAGAGAAGGCAAGAAACACATCATGCCGGTTGGACTAATAGCATCGTTTGGGCACAGTATTGGCCTCGGCTGTTACTCAATATGCTATTAGTGTCTGACGCTTCATGATAAGCACATGCTGAGCTTCAGTTTACAGGCTTGTTCTAAGCTCATCAGCTTTGGTCTTCTTGCTGATGCTTGAATGTCTGACCAGAAGCGAGGATGTGCAGTACGTGTCTGGTTGGGAAACGCTGGTCCAGACCGCATTGTCTGAACACATGGATGATGACTGCTGAATACTGTTGCATGCCTCTCACCCTACCTACAGGACATGAAAGACCAACGCGGTATGCAAGCACACGCCAACAGAAACTAATGCCCAATCAGAAATGCATCATGGTTGATTCTTACTGGGCAAGCAGTGATGACTGCTACTCTAGCTCCAGATCCATGCCCTCGTGAGCGACAACTCAAAGGTATATCATGGATCAGGTATCCTGATACTAATAAAAGCCTGGTTTGGGAGCCCAATACAGAGGCGGTCAATGCGACAGTATCCGAGCGAGCCGCCATAATAGGTAGCATGGCATCGAGGATACTGTCAACCTAATTGTCATGATCCTCTCTTCCGTACTGTACTTGGGCTGAAGTCTAAGTGAGACAAAGTACAGTTAAACGAAATTTTCGTTCTTGAACCCCCAAAAATCTATCATGACGACCGATTACCTTAGTTCCCACAGCGGGTTTAATCTTTGCGAAGTCCGCCGTGGTCCCACCTAAACCAGGTCCATCGAACTTTGCTTTCCGTCTTTGGTTTATTAACTCGGCCGATTTTTGAGGTTTTTCTTTTTAATCACTCACTAATTTGGGGCAATGTCCGTTCAGAAGTCGGGTCTCGGCCCACTGACGGATGGGGAAAAAAGAAAGAAAAAATTAACAAACTCTTCAGTCACGGACCCGGGGTCGGTAGTTTTCGGCCGGTGTTTGCACTCGGGGTCCAGGAGAATGCCGACCGATATTGGCATAGGACGATTATCGAATGCGTATTGCCGGTCGGTCTCCTGATATGATTGATCACTGCATCTACGGATAGATTCCCGTTGTCCGAATCTTTCCAAGTGCCCATGTACGGTTCCTTCAAGCTTTAGCTCAACTTTATCAGACCATATTCTTTCTCTGGTCGTACTTCAAAGATCTCGTGCAATGCACGTGGTTAATGGATATCCCCGGCTTTCTGCTGTGTGACATACATACACCTTGTCCGCATTTCTGCCATTAAGTGGCATGTTCAGTGATGCGTCATGTCGTCTTCAACGTTTTGTAACACATTGGTGTTCGAAAGATGTAACAAATGGTGCGAGGACAGGAAGTGAGACATAGCATTCCTCAATGATCGGTTTGACTCGAGTTTGCCAGATTCGAGCAAACTCAGGTTGTTATACACTGTTGTTCCAGGACGCTATCCCAGGGTTACTTGAGATGTTTTAAACGTTAGTAGCCAATTACTGTGAGGTTCTTTGGCCGAATGACCTCGTTCGTGATCTCTAGCCCCCACATTTGAATGACAGCCAGAGACCGCAACCAGCGACGATCGACTCTTATCATCAATGCATGAACTGGTCTACGGTGTCAACTGAACCCGACCTCAGCTCAATACCCTGTCTAGCCTGTGAGGCTGGCGGTGAGAGACGTATACTTACAGTCTAATCCGCACCACTACCTTAAGGTAGTCTATGTGCCTTTAATGTTGACGTAGATCTGGAGCTACAACCTACACACATGATCCTACAGCTCTTTCAGGTATCTTGTTGACTACCGAATTATGCATCATAATACTGGAATCAGATCTGGTACTGACTTCAGTGACAAGTACACTTGACTCTCGTATTGCCTATCATTCCGGATCCATCAGATTTATTGACGGCCCTTACTTTCATCTTTCAGATGCAATGGCGTCAAAATATGGCCGCACGTGAGGCTCTAAATAGCGGACGTCATCGTGATATTCCATCCATGGACACCCTAGGCGGCTGGTGAAGGGGGGGCGTGTCCATTTCAAAGGCAGAAACTAAGAAACCTTACATCGTCAATTACGTGACTGTGCCGCTTGTCATTCGAGATTTTGGGGAATTGACTTTTCCCATGAATTCCATGGCCTTTTGCAGGGATAAATCGTTTCGTATTCTAGATTGATTACATAGAAGAGTGGCTGGGTGGCTTGACTGATAGGTGCTCATGGGATTCTGGCATTCCCATATTGTCAAAACAGAAGTCTGCTCTAAGCAGAAGGTTTGAGTTGAATACGAAGAAAACGAACTCAATTTTTATTAGATACCTTACGAGTGACAATGTATTGTCTGTCTGTGGTGATAGCTTCACCACCTTCGAATGCTACAGGGTAGGTGTGGATGATGGTGAGAAGAGGACCATGATTTTCGTCAAAAGCTTGTTATGATTATGAGCATCGTCGTAAGGACTCATCTACTATCGAATTCAAGTCAAGCCTCAATGGCAACAACCTCTGCAAGGAACTAATATAGTCACAAGATGCAGTGCGGAACTAAGGTTTGTTTGTTCTGACATTGACTACACGATCACACAAACATCCTTCCATCGAACGATGCTGATGCCAAAAGCCTAGCTAATAAAGATCCACGTTAATCCTTGGAGAAGGGAGATCTTCTTCGAGCCTCTCCGTACGACACCCTTCTTACACTATCCTCAGAGACCTCAACCCCCTTTTTCTTTCCGTTTGCGACCAAAATGCACCACCAACGCCATGCCGCTGAAATCCAGAGACAACTGTCTCGTCGCGGTATCGAAATGCTTGCACTATCAAGCCATGCGCGAAGAAAAAAATTGCAACATCTCCTATGTGCATCCAACACCATATGTCTGCTCACAAGAACTGATAATGCTCTTATATAGTCTATGCTGCTTCCGATAGACAGCGATACATATCGATAGCCCAGGCAGCTTTCTGAAATACTGTCATATCGACCTCTTCACTACTTCCTGCTGGCTCTGCCCTTGCCTTTTTCCTTTCGAGGACTTTTCTTCCCAGCAGAACGCTATTCCGAGGAAGACAGAGGCACAGGGGGGACTACAGGGGTCTCCTTCTTGCCCGAGGGAGTCTTTTTGCCATCCTTATCCTTGCGCTTTTTGGCTCGTTTCTCCTTACCCTGGCTAGGTGAGGCAGGAGCGCGCGCAGGAGAGGACCTGGGAGGCGAGGAGTGGGGGATAGAGGGTATGGGGACCACGCTCTGGCGGGGAGCGGGCACAGAAGCCTCCTTGACCTTCTTTTGCTTCTTGCTGCTTGCAACAGGCGTGGAGACAGACTTGGGAGTAGGGGTTCCTGCTGTAGGGATTGTGGGAGGCAAGACAGGGGTGTACTTCTTTGCGACTGCAGACGCTGGCTCAGAGCCCAGGTCGGGGCTTCCAGCTCGGTTTGTCTTTTGCTTCTTGGACTTGCTCGCTGCAAGCTTAGTCTCCTCTTGAAGTTGCTCGGCTACGGCTACGGCATCATCCTCAGAGGCTGCGAGCTTTCGCTTGTTCTTGCGCGCGTCAGGAGTTGGTGCGTCGGTTGCTCGAGAGCTGGGGGGTTCGGGAATGTTCAGTCCCTTCTTCTGCTTCTTGTCAGAAGTCTCCTTTGACTTGCGCTTCTTTTCCTTCTTGGCAGCCTTGGTCGACAAAACGGGAGCTTCGCCCATCTCTACGTCCTCATCATCACCGATGCTACCCATGGGCTCGTTGACCCCAATGGGCTGGTATCGAGCCTTGAGACCAGCGGGCTGAGCACGAGGGGCTGGCTTGGGAACAGGAGCGACAGAGTTAGTGGAGCCAAGTTGTGTGATCTTCTTGACCTGCATAACTTGGTCGATCTGCTTGGTGGCTGATTTAAAAGTTAGTGAAAAACATGAAAAAACTGACGATTGGGAGCTTACTGGGCTGGTATTGAGGGCGATCAGAGGGAATCATGATCTGGATATTACCCTTGGGGGCAATACTCTCAAAGGAGACACCATAGTCCTCGCCGTTGTGAGAAAACAGCTTATCGGTAGACTGTGACTGGTTCATGGGGATTTCGAGATTCTGAACAACTGAGATGGGCACATTGGAAGGAACTGTGAAGTACCAAAACTGCTTGCCCTCTAGGTTCGCCTTGTTGCAGATCTCAGCAACGTCGCGGCCGTTTGTGCCATCATCGCCCTTGCGAAGGACAAAGTCGGGAGCAATGAAGTTAGGGAGGGCGAGCTGTCCTTCGCGATCCTCAATGTGCATGGATTCATCAACCATCTCGTCATCA